TTCCAGCAGGTTCAGGTTGTTTAAGGGGAGAGTGAAAACCCCAAAGTTCCCCGAAGCGGTATCCATTTTTTTAATCAGTCCAGGGGATTTATCTTGCCCAGTTCCGGAGGGAACTGAAATACATACAGCCTGAGTGTGGAACTCTTTCCTTTAAGAGAGGTGCCAGGAAGCTGGCAGTTTTCTTTTTCTAATAAATGGGGAAAGGGGCGGTTGGATGAGTTTGGTCAAAGGTCAGTAACAACACTCTGCACATGCTCAAAGGCGATGCGCACTTTCCTAGGTCCCAGGGCTAAGAGAGCTGGCTAAACTAGATTGCAATCCAGTTCTGCTGAAGGAAAAGGAAGCTTAGTCCTCGGATCTCATTTTCCTTCCAGAACCACCCCCCCATGCAATTATTTTACAATTGTTAGCAGTACTTGGGCGCTAGAAATGCAAAATAAACGAAGGCCAGGGGAGCCGGCGTGCTTTCGGGTTCAGCCTCTCACACATTTACTTTCTCTGAGAAGTTCTAATGAACGCGGAGAGGTTTTGCTTCTGAACAGACAGGGAAAGTGACTGCCGACGACCGCACACCTCTGGCAACCGAAGACAGTCTGATAATACACTTCTGTTTAGGACCGGAAGAGTTAGTTATGCATTTAAGGTCAAGCCAGATGACTTAACTGATGTGTGGATCCGATTTATAAACACAGAATTCCAAAACTCACTAGTTCGCAAGGCTGCAGCAGGGAAAATGTGTCTCACTTTCCAGATACATTCCAGCGCCTGCAGTTCTGGGAAGCTTTAGCGAAGGAAGACACGGGTTTTAGCTGAAGAAAGGATATCAGTTTCTGCTCATGGGGGTGGGGGCAATACGTGCCCAAGTCAGTAAAACTGAGGAATGGAAGCTGATGCGGGGTTTCGGTGATGGCACTTTCAAGAAACAACCAGCATCCTATAGTGCAATTTTAATGCAGCCTGCCCTTAATCCGTTTTTACTGGGAAGCAAATCTCACGGAGTTCAAGCAAGCCTGTCCCCCCCCAAAAAAAAAACTGTGGGGGGGAAGGCGCTGCAGTTTTAACAGTCCGATTTCGTGTTTATCTTCTCCGATGCAAGTCCCACCGAGTTCAGAGGGTCTCACTTTCAAAGAAGTGTGCATAGGATCGCACTCCGGTCCGGATTTAGGGCTGGGTTTTTACACTGTACAATTGGAGAAAAGAAGTGAAACTGACTCAAAGGTCTTTAAATGTCGCTTAGCGCCTGCGAGTCGCAGCCACTTGATCTCAAGAAAACTGAGACCCTCGCTTAATCTGGTTAGGATCGCAGCCCAAGCTGACCTCCAGGGAAAGCATATGCTGACCTGTAAAGAAAAAAGAAGAAAAAACACGCAATTTTTGTCGACCTACTTTTGAAATCATAGGTAGAGGAAACGATTTGGTCTTCCCAGAGTTAAACAGTGCATGCTCTTAAAACAAATTTAGTTTGGTGTTCAGTGCATGTTAATTAAATATTGCAAAGGAAAAATAAACTAAACTAAAATCTTAGGGTGCGAATCGTTTATACCAGATGCTTTCTACCGATGGCCCTTTACAGGTAGTCCCGATCCCGATCCAAATACGGTGCGTGGATATATTACAACATATGCGACACTCCAGGAACAAATCAGAAACGTGTAGGGAGCACCCGTTGAAACATGCGCGTTCCTAGGTTAGTCGAGGGAATCGGGAGGGGTGGGGTGTCACAAGAAGGCTAATTCCTCGGATTTAATCCGGTTTGGCCCAATGGACCCCCATCGGCTTCAGTCAAAGGGGACCCGCTTTTTTGGGATTTGGATCCGGGTGCTGAAGTGATTCTGGGTCCATTTACGCATGGGGCAGCTGGGAAGATCAATGTGCGTAAATGCAGCGCAGAGCTGTGGGTGAAAGTGAGCAGCCTTCAGGATCTCTCGCACACTGTCCGCGTGGAAGGGAGCACTGCTGCCACCTGTGGGGCTGACTCCCCCGTGGGGCTGAGTTCACTGCTTACAGCCGCGTGGCGCGATCCTAAGCCTATTTAGCCGGAAGCAAACTCCCAAATAGCGCAGCGAGGGGACCGCATTGCGAAGCCCTTGAAAGACCACTCCAACCGGGTTTCTCTGAATAGGGGTGGGATTGGGGGGGAAAGCTTCACACCACTTATTTTCAAGTAAGCTTTCTGTGGGATTGTTCCGGAGTAAGTGGCTCGAAGCTTGCCCTCTCCGGCGCCGATCCAAAATACGCTGCCTTGGAAGGAAGCCTCGCTGGAAGCAAAAGCAAAACAAACCTCATTCCAAAGTAAGAAGCATATTTGAGATCGGCCGCATTATCTTAACCTCATTCCGTTAGAAAAAGACAGTACAGTGGTACCTCAGGTTAAGTACTTAATTCGTTCCGGAGCTCCGTACTTAACCTGAAACAGTTCTTAACCTGAAGCACCACTTTAGCTAATGGGGCCTCCCGCTGCCGCCGCGCCGCCGGAGCACGATTTCTGTTCTCATCCTGAAGCAAAGGTCTTAACCTGAGGTAATATTTCTGGGTTAGCGGAGTCTGTAACCTGAAGCGTATGTAACCCGAGGTACCACTGTATAGACCAACAGGGATCTAATTTAGTGTAAATCGGCTCTCAAAAGCAGTGAAAATATTTGTATTTTTGCTATAAGGAATGGGAAGAGTAAATAATAACAATTTTAAAAATCACGCGTGTTTGTATGGTGCGATTCACACACACACAAACACACCCATAGTTTGCAGGTAGCGGTCGGGACTAAGTTCCAGCGCCTCTTGGAGCTGATTCTCAAAGTCCCCCACCCCCCGCCATCACTTGGACCTGAATATATGTGTATGGACCCTAGCAGGAAAGAAAAACGGGACAGCATATGCTTCTCCCACCCAAAGATTCCTGGGAGTTGTAGTTTTCAATTCCCAACATTCTGAGCAAACTGCGGTTCCCATGATGACTTAGGGGAAGTGCGCTTTAAATGCGCTCTTAAGTGTACAGTGTGCACACAGCCGAAGGAACAAAGCAGACACATCTGTCTCTGGTGTTAGAGCTCTGCCGGTTCATTCGCACGTGCAAGAAGCCAGGCTCAGCCATCAAGAGACGCGTGAACCAGCCCTTGGAGCGGAAGCTGCGTCGTTTAGTGAAAGACAGTGTCCACAGCTAGCTGGTACTGGAGCAGCCAGATCGCTTTTAAGGCGTTTTCTTCCCTAGGAAATGCGTTGCCAGAAAACGTCAAGCTTCTGAAACAAGGTGGTTAAAGGACAGGCGTGTCCATTTTTACGCAGATTTGTCGCCGCGTACGGAAAGAGAGTTCCTTAGAGTTAGGGCAGAGTAAATTCATTCTTCTGGGCTGCAGTCAGTCCCCGCTACGCCTCTGAACAAAAGGGGCGAGGGAAAATTGTGCAGCGGTTGTGGAGCCGCGAAATCCCGAAGCCCCTTTGAGAACAAGCGCTCTTGCATAGGATCGGGCGGAAGACAGGACAAAGTCGCTGAAGGGCGAGAAAGAGAAAAGGATAATAATTCCTTTTGAGAAACACCTTTATAGGGAAGTGCTTGATGGAGAGCCGGTGGGAGTAAGACCTTGCTCTCCCTAAGCTGGTGAGCCGGTGTCTTGGCTGCAGTTCAGTCTGCGGGCGAGGGCGCCTCCATAAGGGGAAGAGATTCCTGCACATCCAAAACTGGACCTCAGGGAGAAGGAGCTCTCGGGGCCTTGTTGTTTCAAGGGGGCATGGAGGGCCATTAGGTCATGGGAACTCCTCAGCCTGGAGTGGTGCAATCCGGACACAGATCGGCCACTTCGTGGGGAACGAGGCCTGCTGGGGACCGAGCGGGTTGAAGTAGCCAGGAGTCCCGTAGGCAGCGCGGGCTGTCAAAGCGGCAATCAGTACAGTGGTACCTCGGGTTACAGACGCTTCAGGTTACAGACGCTTCAGGTTACAGACTCCGCTAATCCAGAAATAGTACCTCGGGTTAAGAACTTTGCTTCAGGATGAGAACAGAAATCGTGCGACGGTAGCGCAGCGGGAGGCCCCATTAGCTAAAGGTTAATAACAGTTTCAGGTTAAGAACGGACCTCCTGAACGAATTAAGTTCTTTACCCGAGGTACCACTGTACTACTTGACAGGAAGGAGAGGGAGACTTTGGGGTGGAGGGAGCAAAGAAGTCTGGGAAGCAGAGATCTGGCTTTGCAGTTCTCGTCGTCTGAAACTTTTCCAGTTTTCAGTGCAGGCAGAAGAGTCGTAGGAATGGTTAAATGCCTCCTTATGGACGCAGGGCAAAAGAGCATAATGTTAAGAACCTTTGTTGTGGATATATACAGGGGGTGTTTTGAGCAGGAACTCGGGGGGACCGAGTTCCCTTACCTTAAAAAATATATATATATTTGTCCGGGGTCGGGGTCTGGAATGGATATACACCCAATGCCTGAGCCAAAAATCCACCTATATCTGTAATCAAGTTTTGGCCATTTCTAATCCAGATCATTGTCTGCTTGAGTTTAATAATAACAATAATAAACCTTTATTGTCACTACACCACCTGTGTGCAATAATATCACATATTACATTTAGCCACTGCTGGGGGGTGGCATTGTGACTGGGCCCACAATAAACAAACAAACTTCGTGGTGAGGAAACCCTGAACGCTCGTGGAACCAGCGAGCTGCCCGGAGATGGAGAAATCAAAACGCGTGGGCTGAAACACAGAATAGGGGTGGTCCGATGCCCTCCGTGGAGAGTCCCCCCTCCCTCTTGAAACCCCGAAAAAGGACCAGGGGGAGACCTCTCCAAACTCTGGTTTCCTCCCCAGAACTAAACTGTTGGCTTGAAAGAAAAGGTGAGTTTGGAGAGCCCGGCGCTTGCCCTCCCGCGCGCTCTGCCTTCCTCTCCGGTGGGATCAGCGAGGCCTGACGTGGGCAGGCTCTGATTGGCTGGCAGCCGATAGGATCTCAGCGGCCAGCGAATTAAGGCGGAGGAGGAAGGAAGGCGCATCTCATTGCGAGCCCTCCGGCCCTGGCAGACGCCTCTTCCATCCGCCCCGAAGCGCGCGCTCTCCTTCTCCCTCGCCTCCATCCAGGGAGCAGGGGAAACGATGGTCGCCGCGTAAACTGCGCCCGCGCGCTTCCCTGACCTTCCAGACTCGTCCTGGGGAGTCTGGCAAAAAGTTCTGGCCTCCGGATCCCCCAGCCCGTGGGCTCCTTCCTCCTCACTGCTTCTCCCTTGGAGCCGTCTGGGTAGCAGGAGGGAACGGCCTGGCTCTGCGCGACCACCTGACACTTTTGGGGGTGCCGTCCTCTGCTCCGAGACCATGGAGTACACCGCCTCCCCCAAGCCGCAGCTCTCCTCCCGGGCGAACGCCTTCTCCATCGCCGCGCTCATGTCCAGCGGGAGCTCCAAGGAGAAAGAGAGCGCCGAGAGCACCATCAAGCCTCTGGGTGAGTCTCCGGAGAAGGAGGGACGCGCCGTCGGGGAGTCCTCTTCTCCGGGCCCACCTGCTCAGCCTAGAGGGGCTTTCGCCTGGGATGCTGGAGTGGTCGCTTGGGGGAATGGAGGGAAGGGGTGATCTTGTCATAGGATCATAGAAGGGACCCCCAGGGTCATCCAGGCGAAGCCCCTGCAATGCAGGAAAACAGATAGGTTCCTGCTTAGTTTTGCAAATGTGTTAGCAGTTTTAATGCGGCGCCGAGCTCATTGGGCCTTACTCCCTGGTAACTGTGTGTGTGTGGGGGGGGGGATACGTTTAGAAAGGACAGCTTTCCAAAACAATAATTATTCGTGGGGTGGGAGAATGCCTTTCCTAAATTGGACTGGAGCGTTCAACTTCCCCTTGACTGGGATGTTTTCAAGGATGCTTTCCAAACGTCCAGTGGAAAGTTTTAAAAGGCAGCGGAAGCAAACGCTTTTCTAAGTAGCCTGGTATAACAATTAAAATATCCCGGTGTTACGACGGGGAGTTCCGTCGTTCTTTAAAGGCTGCGATTATCCGACGCATCGTTTTCCTTTTAAGAAGAAGCTGGGTTTAGAGGGATCAGATAAAGGATCTGGCCCCAGTGCCGTATCTCCGGTCAGAAATAAAAACCAGATACGATTTTGCTAAGTTGAGTTTTCTTGGACTGCTCTTCCTCTCTCCGGGCAAAAGAGGCCATCGATCCGGAAAACAAACTTTTCATCCGAGAACATTGAGGCGCAGCTGTAGTTGTAAAATCAGCCCAAGGACCGGCTCATTGTGGGAACCACTTCTCCCCAGTTTGTTCGTACACTTTTTAAACTAGGGAGATAGAGTTGAAGGAGAGGGAGATTCAGCTAAAGTAATTACTAGCAATCAAGATTTTTAAAAAAAGCCCGAAATTCTGTGAACATTTGCTGCACAGGAGACAACTGCAATCCTGTGCACATTTAGCTGGGAGCAAGTCCCAGGATCGCTGGGCAAGCACGTTTAGCTTGGTAGGATTTGCTTCAGGATGAATATGGGGCCTCCTTTGGAATTAGTTTGTATTCAAAATAAACTTGTCCTCTGGAATCACTGGGATTCGTAATAGCCAAGGCTGTGATTCTGAATCTGGAAGCCATTAAAAAAAAGTAAACCCGACCAATTTCAGATAAATATATTTAGGATGAGGTGATCATAAGCTAAGGAGTCTGAAAGAAATGGGATTTGCTTTCAAATACAAAGACTCCGTTCACATCCCTTTGAAGCCGAAGGCAAAACTTTGCTGGTTTTTTTGCAATCCGCAGCAGGGAGCCCATATTTTTGACTGTGATCCTTAAAGCCTCTGAAGTCAATCTGCGCTATCCTGCATGGATGGACGTCCCATCCTAAAACATCCCCCCGTTGAGTAAATAAGATTTGCTTTCTGATAAACACGCCAGGACTACAGTTTCATACTCTCTAGTAAAACTTTCCACTTTTTGACTTGAAAATAAGCCATTTTGATTCGTAAGAGAACTTGCTTCTAATTCCAGAAGTTTAGTGCGTCAACCCAAATACCAAACCCAATTTACCCTGGCTTTTGACACTCGATGTGTATGCTTTTTAGGACCCACCTAAGTTATTACAAACTGTTTTTAAATATTGTGTTTTAATGTTGGAACCCGCTTTTTGGGTAAACGGCAGGTAATTAATAACGATAATGATAAATAGTGGAGAATGTGAACAGTTTTGTGCGTTTTGTTTTAAATAAGTTTTGTCGACTTGTATAGAACCTCAATTACAGAATTTCCTAAGAAAAGAGTAAATATGTCTCTGCTCCAAGGACGTTACAAGGAAAATAACAAAGAATTATTGCACTTTCTTTATTTTAAGATACTATTGTGCTGATTTTGACCTTTATAGCACTTTGAGCTTTAGGTACATTATGTATTTAGATCCTTTTCTCTTACAGAAGCTTTAACAAAAAATACTTCTCATAAAATCATTGCTCAGCTCTTTGTGTGGGTTTCCTTTATGGCTGTTTAAGAAACATTACCCAGAAACCCTTAACTATAAATTTTTTCACACCTCTTCCCTCTGTCAGCTAGCCCACCCTTTAACCATTAATAGAAATAACGCGCCTTTAGAAAACTACCTTTTTCTCTTGGTGAAGAATGAAAGGAAGAGCGAGAGTTCTCTCTCTTTTTATATAATTTTAATTAAATTTCATTTTTAAAAATTGACAAAACATCCATCTTACATATAATACATAAAAACCTCTTGGCCATCTTGGCCTGAGACTTCTCTCCTCAGCTAATGGTTTTCCTAATTATACTCTGATATTGCATTTCGTTATTAGGAAGAGCGAGAGTTCTCATTGGCGTTGTTAAAAAAGGGTAATTTAAACAGACAAAACAAAAATCCGAAGGCTTTTAAGATGCATTCAATATAAGCAATGCGTATGCTTAAGAAACTTTCGTAGAAAATAGAAACCGGTCCCTCATCCCAAACATCGTACATTAAAGATAATTTTATACTTTATCTTTCTGAGCTTCGGTCACAGCGAATTTGTTTCCGGTTATTTACAGCCTCTTTTTCCCCCCTGTTCCGAGTATGGACTGGCTCGTGGTTGCATAGACTTGCCTTTGCGCCTGCTTTTAAGAAAATATTACTTCCCGCCTCCCACTGCAGTTTTTAAATAAATATGAGCAGAAAGATCCTGGACAGGTTGAAAGAGGTTCGGTACGACCATATCCTTGAGATCTGCTAAACCGACTAAGATGATCACCAGGAGATCGGACCGAGCGGGATCTCGATTTGTTTTGATTCGGTTTCCTTGTTTGGTCTCTTGCTGAGGAAGAAACCGGAGGCCGAGGGCCCTGGGTTTTCTTTGGAGCGCGTTCCCAATCGACTCGCTGTAGACATGCTTCGCCTTCTAGCTCCCCTCTTCCTTCTTCCATTGGAAGTGTAGGCCCAACTTGCCGTCCCTTCTGTTCAGCCCATTTCCCAGACTCAACCGCGGAGTCTTGCGCGCCCAGGGGCTGATTAGAGCCAGAGTCACAGATACGGTTGGCTTTGCTCGGTGGCGGATTCCGTTGCCGTGAACTGGGGGTTACACTTCGATCTAATTCGGTCCATTTAATCCCAATGGGACAGCTATCTGGGAAATCCATTCTTATGCGTTGGAGCTAGGATTCACTGTTGAACGTGTGAGACGCAACCTGGCTGTGTTCGCGCCATACACTTAAAGCACACACCCCCCCCCATTAATCCTGGAAACCATAGTTTGCTGGGAACTGTAGTTCTGGGTGGTGGTAAGCTACAGTTCCCAGGATTCTTGGCAGCGTGTGCTTTAAAATGCCACCAGGAATGAGAGCGAAGGCTTAGAACTTCCCTCGAGTGTCTTTGGCATATATTATCTGAATTAAAAAATCGCTGGATCTCCGTGGGAGAGAGTTATGGGGTATTTTGTGCCACTAGTTTACTCAACTAAAAACTGGCTTTCTAGAGGAAGTCCGGTTGACATAATCGTGCTTAAGAGCGTGACAAAACCATTGAACAACAAAAACCTGACAGAGGTTCCTGCTAAAATCCCAACAAAGCGAGTGCTTTCTTCTTTTCATAGTACTTTTATTTATATATTTATCATAAATATGTGTAACCCGCCTTCCATCGATGCAGATACCAGGGCGGGGTACGGAACGCAAAAGCAAGCAATTGGCACAAAGCATCCATTGCGTTTAAGTCCCTTGCTGGGAGGTGAGATATTTTAAATGAAGAGTTTGAGATTTCCGGAGGGTGCGATCCTGTGTGGATGCGTTTATACACCCTGGATTGAGGGAGACACAGTGATTTCCGTGCAGACTGTTAGAAGCCCAAGGAAAGCCACAACCCACCTGAGCGTTTCTCCCTAAATAAACCCCATTTCAAAGGAGCGAGACTGCGTAAAAGCAGAGTTCATTCCTTTCAATGGTGCGTGAAACTACCGGTCAGTTTGCGCCCTGCGGGGAACCTTGGAAGAGTGTTAGGAACAGAGACTTTTGTCCACCCCCAAGTCTGGATGCATATGTCATCCTTAGTTATGTCTCTTTCCAAACCGTAATTATTTTAATACCCCACTCAGCTCCGAAGTTTACACTGGATCAGTGAGTTGGGCAACCCAGAAACGAAGTTATTTGGATTTGAGAGCACCCTGACTTTGAATAAAGCCCGAGGTTTTACATCTGTCCGATCCCTCTGAAGCTGAAATATTTATCCTGAATAAAGGGGTCGAGAATAAGGCTTCTTCTCTCCACCCCCCTTGACTTTATTCCAAGGTTACAACACAGCTTTGCCCACTGCCATAATATCACAGAATGATCACTCCAATCCTCAGTCCCACACCACTGTCAGGATCAGGCTTCGAACCTGCCTTATGGACTGTACAGGACGATTAGATCTGCTTCATTATTGGAAGTAGATCCCACTGAATTGAATGGGGTTTTCGCTTGGGATCGCAGTGCACATCTTACGTGCTCCAAACCTGCGCATATTTCCTTGGGAAGGAAATCTCAGCCGTTTTTAACATCCCAGGGAGTCGCAACCTTTCAACTGGGCTAGTCCGGTTGGAAACGTGTATCTGACCAATTGGTGGTGTGTGTTTTCTGGCATTTAGTGGGTGAAATGCTTGGGATCAGTCTCCGGCTGGTGCGGCCCCGAATCTTGGCACAGGATGCGTCCTGTGAGTTGGTTGGGAATGGGCCGCCGGCGTCGCTGGTCCGATCCTGCCCATCTGGGACCAGCTCTATTTTGGGTTTCCCTTCCATAGCGCGCCGCTCGCTTCCGACGCCAGCTGGATAAAGTCTCCCTCCACCGCCAACCACCACGAAGGCCCTCAAGTGGTTTCTTTATTTAAGGGCGGCGATAATCGCGGCATTTAGACAGGCTCCCTGCCTTCAAAGTAACTGGGTCCTTATCAGTTGGCTTCCAACAGCGCCGAGGCGCGCGACCCAGCAGGGGAAGCTCTCCTGCGCAAGTCTCCTGAGCACATTCGAGAAAATTTTCCCGGTGGATGCTTGCTCCTGGACTGGATTTAACAACCAGCTGCTAAGAGGGAGCCCGGGGCTTTACAATGCAATCAAATTTAAGCCTACTCAGAAGTAAGCCCCTCCGAGTTCAGTGGGGTTTACTCCCAGGTAAGTGGACGTAGGGTTACATCTTGAGAGTTTTAGAATTAAGAGTCCTGTATCTGGTTTTAGCTAAAGCACAATCAAGCCTCTCTCGCCTCCATCCCGACTGCGCACAAACCACTAGATCCCGATTTTCTGGATACAGCTGGGGCGTTGGGGGGGATCTCTGACTTACTTTCTCCAGCTGGATCCGTTTCCTTCGCATTTCGTCTCCAGTTTATGGCACTTGAGCTCTAGACTTGTGCGGAAGGTGAGGCGTGCCCACATCTGATAGCGCCCCACTGAGAGTTACAACGCCAGGAGGTCAAGCGATGACTTTATTTCCCGCTCGGTCCCCTCGCCTGATGAAAATGGGGGTTTCTTTGGAATCCTCCTGGGCAATCTCTCTCCAGGCCGAGCGACTGGAGAAAGAAATCCGATCAGAAGAACTTGTGATCAATCTGGAAGATTGATCAGGACGATCAGAAGCCGCAGGGTGTTTGGAGGCGGTTTTCCCTCTAGATTTGGGAAGGTTCCCAAATCTGTGGTCCTTCTTCCTACCTATATCTTAATATTTATATGCTGCTTCTCCATCAAGTTCTAGCCCCCCCAATCGCTTTTATCCTCACTACAACCCTGTGAGGTAAGTTAAACTGAGAGGTAAGTACCGGCCCAACGCCACCCTACCTGGTCCCAGCATGGCACTCCAAGTATAGGTGCCAACTCCCTGGGGCTCTGGGTGCCTGAGCACCCACAAAATTCCCCATGAAGGCGCTGGGCGGGCACCCACAAATGTCCATGCCAGCACCATGCATGCTGCCTGACACCCACGGGCCTGGGCGCCCACGGTCACAGGGCCAACTTGGCACTCCTGACTCCAAGAATTCATTTCCCTAGTAACTGACAACCATTTAATTTCAGTTACCCTTCGCAGGTAGAAGCAAGTCACAATAGAGAGATGCTCTGCTACCTATTCTATGTAGTTCTTTTGTTGATCACAAGTTGGGGCAGGATCCAGTCGAGAAGCGCGAACCTAAACATGTTTATTCACAGAAGGCTCAGCGAGAGCTACTCCTAGGAGAATGTCCAGCCCCTCGAGAAATCCCCTTTGAACACAGTGGGAGGGAGGGAGGCCTCTGAACTACACGTTTAGTCGGAGGTAAATCCTATTAAGTTCAATGGGGCTTATTCTCAGGTAAGTGTGCCTGGGATTTCAGGCTCAAGGTACGATCCTAGGCTTGGTCTCACAGAATGCAAGGAGGCTTACTCCCAAGGAGATGCTAAAGGATTAGCAGCCTGCGCCTTCTATTGAAATCCAAGGAAAGAATCCAGTGCTTTGAATTTTGGGAAGGTTAGCTGGGCCCGATGGTGTTTCACCCGTTGTTTGCAACCAGATGCAGCTCCTGTACCTATTTTCCTGGGAGGAAGCCCAACTGATCTCCTTCCAAGTAGACTTGCATAGGAATGCGCTGTCGGTTGGGGAAGGGGGGCGGGAAAGCAGTTTAAACTCATCCTGAATAAATAGAAAAACGCCTACGGAGTTCAAAGGTACTTCCTTTCTTCCAAGTAAGCAGGGTCGATAAAAAATAAATAAATTGCACCCCCTAAAAAGATCCGCGTCTTTGATTGCAAATCATTTCCCTTTCGCTTGGTGTCATCTAAACAAAAGTCTTTTGAGCTAAAACCTTTCTGGTCGGGTTGTACGGTAAATAATGTTTTCAAGGACGCAGCTTTGTGCCACACTTCGAGGTTCTAGGCCTCAGTGAGGAGGCAAACCTCTAAATCTTTAGGTGGAAAGTGAAAGCTCACGTGACAATGCTCCAAGATAAATAAATAAACATACACTGCGAAAACGGAATGTTGGTTGTCGCGCTAGTTTTCTACTTGCAGGTTGTTTTTCAATGAAGAGCATTCATTCATTCATGTGAACCCGAGCACAAGCCTGCTTGGTGGGGAAAAGGAAAACTGGGGGAAATTGCTTTCTCCCAATTTTCCGTTCCCTCCCCACTCCTTGTTTCCGAAAAAAAAGGAGGGGGAGTGAGAACGGGACGTAAAATTTGATTCCCATTCCTTGTCTACTCTCCAATTGTTCAGAAACTAATAGGTGGGAGGAACGGACAAACTGGGGGGGCGGGAGGAGGACGGGACAGCTCAGCTCCCGCGCGCAATCTTTCTCGTTTTCTCCCAGGCCTTCACATCTAAAGTGAAGCGGATGAAACACCGGTTTCTTGCCGCAGAAAGCAAGTGGCCAGCGTTCTTGTACCTGCTTGCAAAACACTGTCTGTGGCGCGCTTCGAGAGTGGGCAAAGCCGTCTCGGAGCGGCGTCTGCACTAGTCTGCGAGGCAACCGACAAGTTCTCTCTTCCCCGTTCTCTCTTCTGAAATATTGAGGACAAGACGCGATGGAAATCAGGAGGCGGCGGCGGCAGTGGAGAAAGCTCTCCAGACGCAACGCTTTCGCTGCGCTTTGATTACTTTTAACTGCCAATTGCGGCGACTGTGTGTAGCCGGCTCCCTGCCTAAAAGCTCCCGAACGCCTCTGCTGTTGCTGTGCGTAAAACGCAGGGCGGTAGGGAGTTTAAAAACCGTATCCTCTGCCGCTTGAGAAATTCAGGGGGCTTAATGTCGCGGGATCCTGGCCGCAGTTTTCAAGGCCCCGCTTTCCCAAAGGGGCCGTAAGTTCATATGAGTGAGGGAAGAGACAGGCAGAGGGAAAAGAGACCCCAGATAGTCTTGGATCGGCTATAGCTACGACGATCTCTCCAATTTCGTGCGCGCCGTTTTCCTTTGCGGGAGTTCAGGACCTTTCTGCGGGCGCACCAGTTCCCCTCCTGGTTATTATTGGCTTTCTGCCGGAATCCTTCCTAGTGTTTGTCAGGTTCGCCTCTCTGCTCCTCCTGGCAGCAGGCTGACTTGCTTTCCCATTTTTGCTCTGCTGTGGTGACTCGATTATTCACCAGGAGCAGCGGTCTCACTCCGTCGCCGCCCTTTCTCTCTGTCCCATTTGCAGAGCAATTCGTGGAGAAGTCGTCTTGCTCCCAAACGCTCGGCGACTTGCCCGCTTTGGAAACGCCGCCGGGGGATTTCAGCAGCGCCAGCCCCACTTCCCTGTGCACCGAGCCCCTCATTCCCACCACCCCCATCATTCCCAGCGAGGAGATGGCCAAGATCTCCTGCAGCCTAGAGACCAAGGACCTCTGGGACAAATTCCACGACCTGGGCACCGAGATGATCATCACCAAATCGGGAAGGTAAGGCTATACCTTCAAAGTCATCGGTTATATTTTGGTACCACAATCCACAATTGGACAGTGCCTTCGTTAGGACTAACCAAAAACGTCACAAAATCCTGACAAGCTTTGGTTGGTGGTCCTAAGCAAGGCATCAGCTGCGTGTGAGATTTGCGGGAGATGTTGCTTCAGCACAAGTGCTTTTGCTTATTTGTTGTGCAGAATTACAATGGAGCAACTGAAAGGAAAGAGGGGTGAGAATAGAAGTGCCCAGGGCGAAAAAGTTGACTCAAAAGTCTGGGAAAGGGGTAGTTTATCACCAGCCAGCGTGCAGAGCTGTGGATTTATCCAGCCCACGCTTCAGGCATCTGGATTGTGCTAGAAAAGCTTCCTTTACGCAGAAAAAGGTGCTGATCTGCTCCTCTCCGCTCCCACGCCTCATTGCTAAAAATACTGAGTTTGAGGTGTTGTCAGATGACATGAAGGTTCTTGTCCTCTTTTTTCCTTTTTGATCTGTGATGGCTGTTTAACACATGCATGTCATGGGTTGAATGTTGGTGTCTCCAAGTGATGTGCCTGCCTTGTGTATCAGCCACTGTAACATTAGACCACTTGAAGTATTTGCTTGTAGTCTGCACCTAAAGGTTATTAATATCAGAGTAATAGTTAGAATGAGAATGTTATGCTTCCTTTCATTTTGACGTGAGGGAAGAGCTGTAGAATACTAACTATACAAACTGCTGCAGTGCAAAAACCAGCTTTGGGATATTGTCTGGACCTGTTTGTTTCATTTTGTTTTAGGCTGCAATCCTGCACCCACTTACTTGGGAGTAAATCCTATTGAACCCAATGGTACTTACTTCTAAGTAGGATTACATTGTAGTGCATGAGCAGTACTTGAGAAGCTTAGGATGGAGTAAAAAAATGTGTGCCCTGAGTTGAAATCTGTAAAATAACCAGTAATTCCCCCCCCCAAACAAACCTACATTAATATAATTTATGGATTAATGCTATTTTCAGAAGGGTCACCAAATCAGTCTGTTGTAGCAGAAACAAAAACAGAAAAGGCTTGCAGCACCTTAAAGATGACCTCAGTTTACTGTGACGTGAGCTTTTGGGGACTAAAGTCCACTTTGTGCAGTATATGAATCCGCCTCTACAGCTAATAAGCAGAGCACCCCATCCATAATAGGCATAAAATGGATATGTATTCAAGGAACTTTGTAACACTGGAATCTGCCTGTTATGAAATCAGACCATTGGCCCATCCAGCTCAATACTGCCTACACGGACTGACAGCTGCTCTCTAGGTTTCAGGCAGGGGTTCCACCCAGTCCCACATGGAGATGTTAGGATATTGAATCTTGGACCTTGTGCACTCAAAAGAGATGCTCACCCTCATTTCTTCCTTGTTTTCATTTCTGCTAATAATTTGCACATTCCACACACCCCATATAAAAATAATTAAATTACAAAATTTCCTTAAGCCAAAACCCATGGCTTAAAAAGGGGAAATTGTAGGTTCGTAGTAGTTGTTGTTTGTTTTAAAAGCTTTTCTTAGTTACCCCATTCTTAGGGTCCTTTGCAGAAGTCCCACCCAGATCTAAAAGCTCTAGGGTTAATCAGACTTGGGAAAGCCTGTCTGAGGATTTAGGATTCTGGTTTCATTCTTCTCATAAACACTCAAAAGTGAGCTCCCTCCCTCTTCCTGGGCCTTTCCAGATTACAGTACAGTTTCCTTAAGGCTATTTTACACAAAGGAAATCTGGATTTACCACAGGCCTATACAAAACTCAGCCGGGTTCTGCAACCAAGCTCATCTCCTTTGGCAAAGGTACCTGCATGATACAAGTGTTGACGTATGCATATTTATCACACTATATACTTAAAATATAACTTGTTCTCTCAACGAAAGCAGTATATATGAAGGCAGTGGTGGGAACTTTGCACCTTCCCATTGACAAAATATTGTTCCTTAAGTGCTGGGAAAGTGCCATTGTCACAACAGGAACTTTGAAAAGAGCTGTCACGATCCCATGCAACTCTTGAGCAACAACTCTGAGTTTACCACACTATTTCATCTTTTTAGACCTATAATGTTTTGAGTGTTTACCCAGAAGGAAGCTCCAGTAAGCTCAGTGGGGTTTCCTCCCCAAAACTTGCAGCTAAGGGCTACAAATGGTGCTTGTGAAATCACTAGTGAGTGACACAACCCCTCCTTCCACACTGCATCATTTTGTGATATTTTACAGGTTCCTATTTGTTTAGTTCATTGGACTGCTTCTTTATTGTCCCATTTAACACAGGAGTGCTTAAACAATTCGGAAATAGTGATCGACACCTGCAAGGCTGCTTTTTTTACAATACCAAAATTTCATGTCATTTCATGTGGAAAGGAGGGATATAAATTGGAAACACATAGCTAAAATTCCCCTTGATTTTTTTAAAAAAGTTAGCTCTTAGGAAATGCCATGCACATTTTATTTTTTAAAAAACAGATCACCTTTCATCCTGACCGGTTCCTGGGCAGATGATAGATACAATGCTATTACATTTATCAACATCATAATATTCTTCATAACAATATACAGAGGTAACCCGGGGTTACAGATGCTTCAGGTTACAGACACTTCAGGTTACAGACGCTTCAGGTTACAGACTCCGCTAACCCCAGAAATAGTACCTTGGGTTAAGAACTTTGCTTCAGGGTGAGAACAGAAATCGTGCGGCGGCAGCGGGAGGCCCCATTAGCTAAAGTGGTGTTTCAGGTTAAGAACAGTTTCAGGTTAAGAACGGACCTCCGGAACGAATTAAGCTCTTAACCCGAGGTACCACTGTATTTGAGAGCAAACACAGGTGGTCCTCATCTCTATGGTGGCTTTTTAAAAAGGAGGACCCAAATATGCCTACTCTAGCCTTAATGTTTTTGAAGTGGAAATAAGATAGTGTGCCAATATCTGTAGCACTAAGGGAGAAAACCATTTTTTACTTTGGATATGATGCAGAATGGAAGTATGACCGGCTTTTAATTCGGCAATGCATCTAAAAACCTGGAGGCATATGTTTTTCTCCACTCTCTAGGTTAGGATGTGCAGTGAGATGCCTCAACTCACAAGCTTATTGCTTCCTTGCTCTACTTCCCCCACTGAGCTCCACACGACCAGAGGATTCCATTCCATTGTGTTCCTACAGATCTACAATTGCAGTTTTCCCACCTCCTTCCACTTGCAACCTCAGGCTTGCTCACCCTGCGCTGGAAGGGACACGACAAGTCTACTTACACGACTCTTTCTTTATTTTTATTTTTTTAAATGGTATTTATTGAGAAATTTTTTAAAAATTACACAGAAAAAGAAACAAGACAAAAAAAAGAAAAAGAAAAAGTAAAACCATCATTCTCCAATTCTCCACTTTCAATACCTTCTTTCCTTGACCTCCTCCTCCTCCCTTTTCCTGTATCCTGATTTATAATAGTCACAGCAAATCCTTTCCATAATTCATAATATTCTTTCCTTACATTACCTTAGTCTATTTTCATCTTATCTTATATATAAAAAAGTTTAAAACTTAAATCTTAATTTTTACCAACTTCTCCTAACCATAACATTCTTACCTAATTCTTTAAACATTTTTATAAGAGCCAAATAATTTCATTTCAACATTTTCCTAACATTCATCAATTTTGTAAAACAGTCCTAATGATAGAAATAGGAACTTAAGCAATCCAATCTTCATCCAGCGTCCCTTCCTCCTGGTATCCGAGGCCCTCAAGTCTCTTCCATGCCCCTTCCACAGCTCTTCTTCATATTTTCCTTTTATTCATGGGAACTCCAGCTTGGTAATGTTTTTGACCCTTTTCAACAAAACAGTCCCTTTTCCATAGTCCAGGCTAGACTCGATGTAGTATTTAAAAACATGTTCCAGATTCCCTTCAAAGTTGAGAGCCCCCACTGCTCCAGACATCTGACGGCCCCTTTCCAGACTTGAAAAGTCCAAATCTCCCTGTATAGGGAGATTTCCAAACCAAACCAAATTTTTTCTTTCCAAGTCTGGTCTTTTCCAAGTTCATTTGTCCAATCCAAAAATTTATATTCCTGCTGGGCCGCAGCTCCCTCCGTCTCTTTCTTTAACTGCCTGGGAGCCGCATGTGGCTGTCAAGCTGCAGTTTAAAATGCGTTTTAAATGTTTAAAACGCGGAGCGGCTTCAGTCAATGTATATTTGTAGGGAGATATGGATTGTTTTAAATATCCCCAAACAAAGATATACAGAAAATGCTTGGAATTTCCCTGTCTCTCTGGTAGGCTAGGCTTATAATGTCTGTTTCTGATCAGTTTCAAAGGGGCTGTTTGCTCTGGTCCCTTATTTATATATTCACCATCTTGTTTGCTTCTGTCTGTTTCAGAAGAATGTTTCCGACCATTAGGGTTTCCTTTTCGGGCGTGGACCCGGAAGCCAAGTTCATTGTGCTGATGGATATCGTTCCAGTGGACAATAAGCGGTACCGATATGCCTACCACAGGTCCTCCTGGCTGGTTGCTGGCAAAGCAGACCCTCCTCTGCCTGCAAGGTCAGTTCATGTGCAAGTCATATCCATTACACACAGCCCTCAAATCTCGGCTGTGAATCCTCAGTGTTGCTTTGTCTTTGGGCAAGACCAAGAACTGACAACTGCTGAAACCAATAGTCAGGAAAACAAAATCCTTGATAGGAGTCAAAAGTTCTGTGCATTCCAAAGGTGGACAATCTGAAGTCTGCATTTGGCCCTTGGTCTAATTTTATGTGGCCCTTGGTTCAATTTTATGCAGGTGGCAAGGAGGAGGAAAGCTGGAAGGAAAGGGGGTGAGAGAAGAGGAGGTGGCTCCATCTACTTTTGGCCGTAGCCATGCCCGCTTTTGACTCCTGTTCCACACACCACTGGTTTGCAGCCCTTGACAGATTACTTCCAAGGAGATTTCCCCAAGGGTTGTCCATTCCTGCTGTATTGTTGAGCTTTTTTATAGGAACCCCCCCCAAAAAATTTGAGCAGTGTATGGCAGTATGCATAATCCAGTTAAATGCAAGCAGATTTTAAAAGGAGAGTTGCACATCGCCCCCCACGAATCCTAGGTGCGATCTAATTAAAGTAAAAACAGGTTCTATTAATGTTGGCTTAATCATGCCCAGAGATCTTAAGGATCTGCTGCCCTATCCCTCTGTTATGTACTGAGTTGAATAGGATCCAAAAGGCAGCAGTCTGATTGGTCCTAGAACAACAGGATTCAGAATGCAGCAGTCTGATTGGACCTAGAACAATAGGGTCCAGAATGCAGCAGTCTGATTGGTCCTCAGGAGCCACCCAATCCAACTCCAGGTGAATCTGCAACCTGATTGGCCTACAGGTGAATCCCGGAATTAGCCAATCACGTGGGGCCCATTGTGTAAAGAATGTATATAAAGCAGACGTTCTGGGGGAACTTCCATTCCTCCTCACCACTATAAGCTGAATAAAAAGCATGAAATCCACCCTCGACTCCGAGTATATTTCACCCTCAAAAAACCTTGCAAAAGTTTTAGTGCCAAACAGTTTAAATGACCCTTTAAATATATACATTATTTTCTTCTTGCTACAATACTTTCCACTCTTTAACTTCAAAGAAATCCAGGCATGTTTGGCCAAGTGCAAGTCAAAAATATTAGATTACAGCTTGATTCATTCAATTACATTATTTTTTCAACTGAAGACTAAACTGTGGGTCATGTTTATGTACTGCAGTCAATTAATTGTCGACTTGCTCTGCAAGTCAAGGGGACACGATCCCTTTTTCAATTTAAAGGCTCAGTATTTTCAGCTTCTGTAGCCACAGAACTTCTGAATAATAAATGGTTGTGTGTGTGTGTGTGTGTGTGAGAGAGAGAGAGAGAGAGAGAGAATATCTAGAAATGACTGAGCTCCCCTTGGCTCAGTTTGCAATCCGACTCAGCAAGCCAAGCCATTCCCCGCTCCGGAAAGCTGCTATTTTCCCCAAGTACAACTCTAAATTCAGACCCCCTTCATGTTCCCCATGATGTTTCAAAATGCACATTGAGATCCAAATCTCTTTCCCCAACTCCTGCAATATTCCAAATCCCATGAACCACTCCTTCCCTTCTCCCAAACTTCCTGCTGTCAGAGCTGTGCTGACACGGGTGCTATCTCACTTGGAGGCCTCCATGGAAGGTAAGGAAGGTAAAGGGACCCCTGACCATTAGGTCCAGTCGTGGCCGACTCTGGGGTTGCAGCGCTCATCTCGCTTTATTGGCCGAGGGAGCCGGCGTACAGCTTCCGGGTCATGTGGCCAGCATGACTAAGCTGCTTCTGGTGAACCAGAGCAGCGCCCGGAAATGCCATTTACCTTCCCGCCGGAGCGGTACCTATTTATCTACTTGCACTTTGACATGCTTTTGAACTGCTAGGTTGGCAGGAGCAGGGACCGAGCAACGGGAGCTCACCCTGTCGCGGGGATTCGAACCGCCAACCTTCTGATTGGCAAGCCCTAGGCTCTGTGGTTTAACCCACAGCGCCACCCGCGTCCCATGGAAAGCCTTCCTCTATTTCCACGGCACCTGAGATGCTTCAGTGTAGTTCGCCAAGGCAACTGAGTCCTTAAACTTTGGACAGTAGGTGACTGGGAGAACGTTGTTTCTTTGATGCCCGTCAGTGAAGCATTCAAGGCCCCAGAGGTTTCACACTGAAGCTCCGAATGAGACTTCTTCTTTACCACAACTGCTCCAAAATGGTGTCTGGTACTTCCTAGAATGGTTTGTCTAGGGCAGGGTCAGGCGATGTGGTGACCCTGCCCCCAAGATGTTGTTGGACTATGACTCCAGTCCTCCATGACCACTGGTGGTGTTGGCTGGGGTGGTGGGTAGTAGGATTCAGCAGCGTTGGCTACCTCCTGGAGCGATGTCATCCTGTACAAGATGCAGCAGAGAGTGAAATGAGGCAATCTGGCTGAAAAACAACCTCATCATTCCACCAAATTATGAGATATGATGGATGGTTACCTTGGACAGGGGCTTCTCAGTGGTGGCCCTCAGAATTTGGAATGGCTTCCCGATAGAGAATTTGGCTGGCAGGCAGTAAAGACTACTTTATCCACATCAAAGCTTTTTCCTATGGGGTAAAAATATATCAAAACAATTTCTCTAACTGTCCAGATGTGGATAAACTTTGTTCAGAAATAGGACCTTCACTATGCAGTCTATACATGTCTACTCAGAAGTAAGTCCCACTAAGTTCACCTGGTATAGGACTGTGGTCTCGGCCTGTCTCCTTCAACTGATGCTTTTGTCTATTGGATTATGAGGATTTTTTTGGCAGATTAAGCTGAAATTCTCAATGGCTCAAACTTTAAGAATGTTGCCAATCTAATATTAATTAAGTTCCAGGGGTTTTAAATTCATTTTTTCAGTGATCACTATTTGTAGACTGAAATCTGTGTGTGTGTATGTTTAAGTGTTGGAGATAGAAATATATCTGTTGCGTGCTTCGCGAGATTGAGTCAAATGAAGTTAACTTGTTGATGTTGAAACGATCTGTCCATAAGTTTACTTACATAGGTGATTCTCAAGAGAAAGGGGGGGGGCAGGGGAAGGAATCCCTGCCGTAGGTAAGCCTTGGTGACATCCATACCCTCAGGCTCCCCACCCCCCATCATTTTTGTAGAGAAATAACTTTCAGCACCACAACTGCTGAGACCGATATTAACGAGGATTAGCCAATATCATTTGAAAGCATTTCCATTCATAAACCTTCACTGCGGATGACCATTAAATCCTCCTTTTCCTGCTGTCAGCGTGCAAAGTAGCTCTCCCTCCCTTGCGCTGTGAATGGAAGGAGCAAAATTCTTTTGGAAAAATCTATTGTGAAACTTTCCGCGGGTCCCCAGTCCCAGAATACGACTAGCTTAAATGGCTTTATGAACCAGACCAAACCTTTGAAAGACATACCTGTCTTATGAGTTCTAGCTTGTAGCTAAATATTCTGCTTGTCTTTTCTTCCTTTGGGGTTTTCTGTTTTGTTTCTTTAACATTGGTACAGAGTGTTGATTAGTTTCCTTGACAATGCAAGCCACCTTGTGCTTTTAACTCCTTGCTGACTAAGCCAAGATCCACCACAGGGCAAAAAAATAACTTGTTGCTCAGTGGTAGGTAAAAGTACAATCGGTTTCTTGTTTATGTGCTGATAGTGGGCGGTGTTCAACGGATTTTTACTCAGAGAACACCTATTACAAATAATGGACCAGACTAAAGTCCTGTCTGCACCATACATTTAAACAAACAGGGCCTTCCGCAAAGAATCTTGGGGACCACAGTTTGTTAAGGATGCTGAGAATTGTTAGGGGACCCCTGTTCCACTCTCAGAGCTACAATTGCCAGGGTGGTTTAACAACCAAATCCTGTTTCTAGGAAACTCTGAAAACTGTATAGCGCAGGTGGGCCTAGGACCCACGTACTTACGGGACCGCCTCTCCTGGTATGCCCTGCAGAGGACCTTAAGGTCCACAAATGACAACATTTTGGAGGTCCCAAGTTGCAAGGTGGTTAGATTGGTCTCAACTAGGGGCAGGGCTTTTTCAGTACTGGCCCCGACTTGGTGGAACGCTCTGTCACAAGTGACCAGGGCCCCTGCGGGACTTGACATCTATCCGCAGGGCCTGCAAAACAGAGCTGTTCCGCCTGGCCTTTGGTTTGGACTCAGTCTGACCCTTATGTTTCCATCCCCTTACGGTTTTGATCTATGGGCTACATTTAAAATGAGGCTGCATTTTAAATTGCATTTTAACCTGTATTTTAAATTGGTTTATTTTATTATTATTATTATTATTATTATTATGTTTTTACTGTAATTTTAATGGTGTTAGCCACCCTGAGCCTGGCTCTGGCCGGGGAGGGCGGGGTATAAATACAATTTATTATTATTATTATTGTCACATTCATTAAATTCAGTGGCCCTACTCTGAGTAAAACTATCCAGTGATTTGTCTGTTTTATATTCTTTTTTTTCTCTAAACAGTCCCTTTCCTTCATTTTTATCCTGCTCAAAATCCTGTTATGTAGATTAGGCTGAAGGAGAGGACGAGAGAGAGAGAGAGAGAGAGAGAGAGAGAGAGAGAGAGAGAGAGTCACCTGGAATGCTTGATGGCTGAGTTTCCTTTTCTTAGTCCAGTCACTATACCATGTTGGTACTCATGAGCCATTCATTGTTCTTTCAGGCCTTGATCAGAACAGCTGCAGGGGAAGAGGCAAACAATCTTCCTTTTTTGGGCAGGGGGAGGGGGGAGAGACAATGCAGTGGATTTGCTTAATAATAATCTAAAATGGAAGCATTAAGCATCAGCTAATGAAATAAAGTTATGTCTGAGATTGCAAAAGGAATGAAAGGCCCAGGAAATAATAAAGCTTTAAAAGAGAAACAGGCATTCATGATTCAGGCCAGCAAATGAATAACTTAATGAGCCTGTTTCAGACATCGCTTATCTCAATCCTATTAACCTGGGACGGTTCCATTGATTTCGGTGGAATTTACTTGCAAGGAAGTGGGCTTGGGGTTGCTGTTAGTTAGGCAGCTGGACCTGAGACAGATTGACTGGGAAGTAAGTCCTACTGGGTTCAGCAGGGCTTACTCCCAGATTAGCATTGATGGGATTGCTGTGTTTGTCGCAGAAGTGGATTCGAGAATGTCATACGTGGCAGGTCTTCAGGCGAGCTGTGTATACCATTTTGCCGCCTGAGGCAAAACAGGAATTGCCACTTTTCCCTGCCCTGCTGCTGCTTCTCTGCTCAGTCTGCCGCTTCTGCCATTTTGGGCGCCATTTCAGCCAATACCGGAGGCAGCGGGGCACCCACAGGGCTTCCGCCACCTTAGTTTACCTAATGGCAGAGCCGGCTCTGCATCCAGAAGAGTCCTAATGAAAAGGTGGGGAGATGTGGGTTGGGAAGTGTTATGCACTAAAGTTCTCACCCTGGGCCAGCAGGGGGATATTGTAGATAGTTTTCACTCAGGTCCACATATGCAAATAAGGGATTGAAAGTGATGTTCAGTGATTGGATAGTTTCAGAAAGTTGTTACAGTTACGTTGTGCTGGAGCTCTATATAAGCAGGTTGGCCGAATCCTTCAGTTCAGTTCTGTTCCGGCCTGTGAATAAACAAGAGCTGTTTGAAGAATAGCTGTGTCGTCTGATATGTTCACCCACAACTTAACAGGAAGCCCTGTGTATCATGTTGGCAGGGGCAAAAGCGGGGGGCGGCGGCGATTTATTAGCTAACCAGCTCCAGCTGATCCAAAGCTGCTGCTACCCTACCCTCTAGCAGCCCATTTCAAGGCTTATTACCCAGCTGGAGGTAACTTGGGGTCTCCACTGTGGTAAACCCCACCCATCTTATCTGTTGGCAGAGGCTGGCAATGATGCCACGCTAGGTCTCCACTTCCCTGGCTATCGATATGGGAGGCACTAGAATGGGCTTTTTTTATTGTACAGCACTTTCTTCCCCACCCAAGACTGAAAGTCTACCCCTGGAATCAGGGCCGGATTTAGGTTTGCTGAGGCCCTGAGCTACTGAAGGTAATGGGGCCCTTTATATGTCCAGCTGTCCTTTGTCAACAACAAATTGTCACTGTTTTTTGTGTTGAATATATGCTATTTGGTAATTTATGGACCTAATAGGTATCTAAAGCCGTTTGCGCATAACAAAATATGTATTTTATCAAAGTAATTGTTGAACAATTGGAAATGTACATCCAGGTGTTTTTTCCCTTTAATTTTTTGTTTGGGCCCCCAAGAGAGTGGGGTCCTAAACTATAGCTTGTTTAGCTTATACATAAATTCCGCACTGACTGGAATATATTGTTAAGTAGGGTTGCCATATTTCAAAAAGTGAAAATCCGGACACAAAAGTTGTTGCAGTTTTTTTGGCAAAGTTGTTGAGCTATTTTTGTGTGCAAAATCTCAAAAAGAAAGTTTTTTGAGCTATTTTTAATGGAAATCACCCAAATCTACATCAACGTGGATTTTCCCGGACACTTCAGCGATTTTTGCCCAGACACTGCTTAAGAGAGCTGAATACCGGCCATATCCAGAGAATTCCAGATATTTTGAACATCCATAGATGACTTAATTTGCGTGCTTTCTTTCTGAGACTGATACATTACTAATTTCTTTTGCCACTGGGGCAGCTGCTGTTTCTTTTAACATCTATAGGAAATGGAGCCAGTGAACCCCTTTTCACTGGCATATCTTTCAGTCTGAGCCTTCTCCTATATTATTCCTTCAGAACAATCTTTCATACATTGCATTGCTTTTTCTTCAAGAGGAAGATCTTTAAATAAAATAATAATAATAATAATAATAATAATAATAATAAGTAAATAGGGCGCCTGAACTTGAGCTGGGTCGTCAGTGTTGTTAACTGGCTAGGCCTAGCAGACTAGGCTGGGAAGTTGTAGGGCGACTCTCTTACAAAAGCAAACGTCCTGAACACAGATTGGGTTGATTGACAGGCCCTGTGTCTCTTGGCTTTCCAGACTGTACGTGCACCCAGATTCTCCGTTCACGGGGGAACAATTGCTGAAGCAGATGGTGTCCTTTGAAAAAGTGAAGCTAACAAACAACGAGCTGGATCAGCACGGTCACGTGAGTAGCTGGTCCTGTGGGAAGGGAAACAATGTCCGCTCTCTCAGGCAATGACACCTGCCGGCACACCTGGTGGGAACGGGCGTTATGAGCAGAGCCCCGGTGGCTGTTGGGAAGGTGCTGCTGTTTTTAGGTGGCTGCGAAGGGGTGCGAAATGTAATGGGGGGAGCAAGGGATGCCTTGGGTCGGGGAGAAGGTTCTGTCATTTATACCTCATTTATCCTTCTCTTGCTTCTGTCCTCTTTGTTCAGCAGCCCAGCATCTTAACATCTTTGTAGTCACCAGCCCATGACCCCATTTAACAATTTCTCGCCTTAAACAGGCTTCTGTGGTGGTATGCTTGTCCCTGCCCCCTAACAATAATAATAATAATAATTTATTTTATTTTAGCCCTCCCCAGCCCAAGACGGTCTCAGAGCGGCTAACAACAGTAAAATGATACAACATTCTAAAATCATTTCATTATAAAAACAGTTTCTTGTGCATCTTTCCCCCCATATAATCATTATAATACGGACGTATTATTGGGCATGTTCTCTTTATCTGTCTAGTGCAAGCCTTAGTGATGTAAATTTCAGTTTTGCACAAGATCTCCGTATTAAATATTAATGGAAATGCCTATCCCTCCCTGCCTATCCCTCCCTCCTGGATCACAAGGTACCATTTTGCCCACTGTGAAACATTTACTGGGATGGATGGCAAATGGTGGAACAGCGATGCACACCAGTCCCTAAAACAAATGGAAATGTGCGGAAGCTAACACAGTAAGCTTGTACACACAGAAAATCAGGTCTGCTTGTAACAGACATCCTCCACTTGGAAGTATCCTGAGATGGGCTTGGAAGGCCCATTGGTGTGAAAAAATTCTCCTGATTTAAGTCCCATTGATTTCAGTGGGGAAGAAGCATAACTAATGGAGGCTGCGATGCTATGCATAATTTACTGTTGAATTCAGTGGGACCTACTTCTGAGTAGGCATGTCTGCACTCACACAACTCTCCTTGTTAGCTTTTAAGAAGAATTTATTTCTCCCACTGTCATAATGGAGAAATGATGGTGTGATTGTTTGTCCTTACTGGATGTCATTATTCATTAACCCTAAAGAAGGCATCAAAGTCCCTGGGTGGAAGTCTTGCAGCTGTATCTATGTGATGGTTGATATGAAAAGTGTGTTTCTAAGAAATAGAAATGAGAGCTTTAAAAAATTGCAATAGCAGTAGCTGAGCCAGCTTGTCAAGAATACAGTAATATGACAAAGATATATTGTCTTTCCTTGTCTCATAGAATCTAACCCAAGAGCCCAGGGCAACTAACTCTTAGTAGTGCGGTACATTATCTGGGACCAGACTGCTGCTTTTTTAGTGATATGAGCCTTGGTGTCCCCCAAGGAAGACAATTATTCACAGAGTGTTTGTGATTATACTTTCTCTACAGAGAGCTATTGGCTTTGATCAGGATCAGCAAAGGCCACTGCGTTCCTAAGGACTATAAAAAAACCATATAGTGATAGAAACTGGGGAAAGTTCTTTTTCTGCACCAAATCCTTCTGCTTTTGCAATTGTTCATAAAGACAACATGAGCTGGTCTTACACAGTCAGCTGAGTGAGGCAGACGGCAGAAAAGGATCACATTTCTGAACGTGCATCCAAATTCTGTGCAAATAGTAATAAAACTAACAGCTAAATGATAGGATGGAAGATTCTGCTCCAGCTTTTGCTCTTAGGGAGTGGATGGTTCATCCCGGAATATTTTTTTGAATGCAGAGAAGCATTTGATACCCCTCACCTGCAGTCTGAAGTGGGGCAGTCCACATTGTCCCATCATTCTTCTGATTCATCATTTTTCCCTCTTAGAAATCTTTAAATTAGGAAAGAGATCTGTGAGGGAACAATTTATTGCATATTGCTAATTACAAGGTCCTAGCCGTGAGCTGTGGAACAGTTGATATATGTGTTGCAGAAAGGTGTTGCAGAAATCTTGGGCGGAAGTAAAAAAGTTGGTAGTTGTTGGGATTTGAATGGATGCTAGGAGAGAATATATTTATTAGATATTATCCTTCCTCCCTCAAGTTTGTGAGTTCAGCAGAGTGCATCCCTTTGCAGCTTAAAAAGAGAAGCTTAGATGGGCTAGTTTTAGCCTTTTAGTTTAAGTAATCCAGAATGCTTTAAGACAGACCAGATTCTCCTGGTATTTCCCACCTTTCTCCCCCTTGAAACAATAATCACGCAAACAGTCTTATAATAGGTAAAAACAACACTTACTCACTCAGAATACTAGTTGAAGAATAACAAATACCGCAGCTTTGTTCAGGCAGACTTAAAATGGTAAATCAGTTACAAAGGCTTACTTAAGCCTTGCTTAAAATGGAGCATGTAGCTCAGACTTAGCAGATGCTTTCACATTGCTGGCATGGTGATGAGTGGTAAGAGAGTAGGAGAACACGCCAAAGCAGGCAGGAGAATATATAGCTATGCCCTCCCCCTGTCAGGGCACAGTGGGGGTGTCTCTCACAGAGTCCCCTCAAGCAAGTTTACAGGAAAACTTTGTGAGCTTCAGCTCCTATCTAGCAAAAGACGAACTGTTGGTTTGACTGCACTTTAAATACCCCACAGTAGTGAGTGTTGACTTGAATCTGAGTAGCTCTTCCCTTTATCTCCTCTCCAGATAATCTTAAATTCAATGCACAAATACCAGCCTAGGGTGCACATCATCAAGAAGAAGGACCATACAGCTTCCTTGCTCAACCTGAAGTCTGAAGAATTCAGGACATTTATATTTCCAGAGACTGTGTTTACTGCTGTCACTGCCTACCAGAACCAACTGGTGAGTGTTTTATAACTCTTATTAGTCTTTTCATCAATGCTACTACTGGACTGAGAGATGAAAATGAGGGTTGAGTGCCTGAATTGCAAGGATGAAGAGGTCCTCCCCCTCTTTCCCTGCTACTTTTTGTGCTTGTAAACTGGATCAGGCCCCTGCAGCAGGTTCCTGTTGAAAACCATCCCCTCCTTTGGAGACAAATATGGCGGGGTAGCAGATGATACTCAACCGATGCAGGAGAAACAGATGCAGGAATACACACTGGATTGGGGCCCTGCAGCTGCTTTCACTTAAAAATGCAAGTGACCTGCTTAAAAAGTGTGAACAATGTGACATGATTTGGTCCTAAGGATGTCACGAAGTCTTATGTCTTCTTTGGGCAGACCGGCTGCAGCATTACACTGCAATCGGAAGTCGTTGGGTGTTTGTGATGACATTCCAGACACAGTGAGGAAATACAGTGGTACCTCGGGTTAAGTACTTAATTCGTTCCGGAGGTCCGTTCTTAACCTGAAACTGTTCTTAACCTGAAGCACCACTTTAGCTAATGGGGCCTCCTGCTGCCACCGCACCGCTGGAGCACAATTTCTGTTCTCATCCTGAAGCAAAGTTCTTAACCCGAGGTACTATTTCTGGGTTAGCAGAGTCTGTATCCTGAAGCGTATGTAACCTGAAGCGTATGTAACCCGAGGTACCACTGCACTGTAACATTTGGGCATTTTTAATTTAGAAAAGGGACGCGGGTGGTGCTGTGGGTAAAACCTCAGTGCCTAGGACTTGCCGATCGTATGGTCGGCGGTTCGAATCCCCGCGGCGGGGTGAGCTCCTGTCTTTCGGTCCCAGCTCCTGCCCACCTAGCAGTTCGAAAGCACCCCTAAGTGCAAGTAGATAAATAGGTACCACTTTATAGCGGGAAGGTAAATGGCGTTTCCGTGTGCTGCGCTGGTGCTGGCTCGCCAGAGCAGCTTCGTCACGCTGGCCACGTGACCCGGAAGTGTCTCCCGACAGCGCTAGCCCCCAGCCTCTTAAGTGAGATGGCCGCACAACCCTAGAGTCGGACACGACTGGCCCGTATGGGCAGGGGTACCTTTACCTTTAATTTAGAAAAAAAGATGAGTTAAGGGAAATGATAGAGATGTATAAAATAACGCAGCTGGGGGGGTGTGGGAATGGATAGAGAGAGGCTTTTCTCCATCTCTCGTAATCCTAGAATCCAGGATCATCCAGTGAAATGCAATGTGAGAAGATTCAAGACAGACAAAAGCACAGGAGCCAACTCCTAAGGGTCAAGGGGTCTTTGGCCCTCCCAATAAAATATTTGAGGGGATGACCCCCCCCCAAGTTGATGGACATTGCCAGTGCATTCAAATGGTGTGCATGCTTGATCTATTATGCGGGCCGGGCTTACCTGGGCCCCGCAATATTTTATTCAGGTTAGCGCCCCTGGGCAAAAGGAAGTCTGTCTTTATACTGTGAATGTGGAATTTGCTATTACAAGACGAAGCAATGGCTACCAACTTGGATGCCTTTAAAAGGGGTTAGACAAATTCACTGCAGATAAGCCTATCAGTGGCACCAGCTATGGCGGCCATATTCCAAGTCCGCAATTCTATGGTTCTATGACTCTACTTCTGGTATTGAAGCTGCTGTGTGGTGAGAGCACTATTCCATTCATGTCCTGCTTGCGGACTTCCTATGGGAATCTATGATTTTCTAGGCTGGTCTGGGGAGCAGTTTCACAGAACAAAGAGGGCAAACGACTTCCCATGAGCCCGTTCCACAATGGAACCTTCAGAGACTTTGACGAAAGAATCTCCCTCTGCCCTTTGCTTTGTGAAATCTCAAAATAGCTTTCTGACACTCATCCCTAAGCCATGTCAGAAAAACTCTTCTCTGGTCCCGGATGAGGGGCTCACATCCGAGCCATTTGGAGAGGTGTTGCTGGAGAATCACAAGACCGCACTGCTTATGTCTGAAAGGAGAACAGCGTTTCCCAACACCTTCCTAATACAGGCAAGTCTGAGCTTGCTGATGAAGCCGTGAGACATGGTGCGTGATCAGGCTGAAGCTGAATGTGTGGCCTGCAGCCGCGACAGCAAGCTAGATCTCCAGATCTACACTGGGCAGGTAAATGGCACCAGCAAGGCCCAGTAGGGGAATGGGGAATTCTAAACGCTTTCTAGACAATTTCTAGAGTCTGATGTCCATCCAAAATGTGCATCTCATCAATCCACAGGGGCAGACTCTCTACGAATTCAAGACCAGAACACATTCCCCATACCCTCCAACATTCCTCAGATGAAAATAGGGACATTTCTCACTCCCTGCAATTGAACCTTCTCAACCTGCCGTTTTTGGGGCCCCGCCCCCGCCCCCACAGAGCATTTCTGTCAGAAAAAGGGCAGGTGCCATCGCTACACCAATGGGACACAGCACGCACACCCTCCACCACCCTGAAAAAAGCCCTTAACCCCGATTTAATTTTATTCTTTGGTAGATTTACAAAAGGAAAACACACACCACTAATTTTTTTAATATTTTTTTTAAGAAAGGGGCAAGATTAGACGCAGATGCACAAAGCAGTTTTTTTAAAATCAAGACTCCTTGCGCTCCACGAACCCTTTCTTGCCACGCAGGGTGGCCCTGCACCTCAGAGCTGACGCACCATGCGCGGCCCGCCCTGATTTCAGTAGCACCCTTACTTTGTTCCCCCCAAAATGAATCTGTTTTGACCAAATGTATACGTAGTTTCAGTTATTTAGATGCTTAGAATTTGGCGCATTTCCAAAAGGCTCAGAATAGTAGATAGCTGCATTTTTGGTAGTTTACATCCCTTTTGGGACGGGGGTGGCATCGTGGGTGCCACCCACAGAGCCTAGGACTTGCCGATTAGAAGGTCGGGGGTTCGAATCCCTGTGATGGGGTGAGCTCCCGTTGCTTGGTCCCTGCTCCTGCCAACCTAGCAGTTCAAAAGCACGTCAAAGTGCAAGTAGATCAATAGGTAGCGCTCCAGCGGAAAGGTAAACGGTGTTTCCATGCGCTGCTCTGGTTTGCCAGAAGCGGCTTAGTCAGGCTAGCCACATGACCCGGAAGCTGTACGCCGGCTCCGTTGGCCAATAAAGCGAGATGAGCGCCGCAACCCCAGAGTCAGTCACAACTGGACCTAATGGTCAGGGGTCCCTTTACCTTTACATCCCTTTTAAAAAATAGCCACAATCTATCACATTATCCACACTGAACACAGTGCGTCTTGCTTGTGAGCAGCAACCCTCTGTATGCTTACATGACAGGGACCTCTGCTGAACGCAACTATGCTAAGTTCCAAATCTTCTAGGTTTTCAAACCCGATTTCAAAGGAAACTTACCACATGGAAGTAATTGGTGTATAAATGAATTACGTAAATTAAAAATAGAATTTATCTGCCTGGCAGCTATGTGTTTACCCTTCATATAGATCCTACTGTCTTATAAACTTTGAATTAAGCTTCAGGCCTATGGGAGGGGGGGAAAGGTGTTTGCCTGGACAAAGCAGTTTTAGAAAGCTGTGGTCTGATTCTCCAGCACATCCCGTAAATACTGCCAAATTTCCCTCTGGAAATCCTAGAGACAGAGGCTGTCGTATTACGTATGACTAATGAAAATGGAACCTCTCTTATTTTTGCCATTTCTTTCACTGCTGGTTTTAAGGGGGATGATTACATTTCTGCGGGTTATTAGATAAGGGCTAAATACATTACACTTTCAACAAACTATCTCACATTTAAGATTTAAAGGTCATGCATTTGTTTAAACAGTCAAGCCACTACGGGAGAGTTGAATTGTAGGTCAACTTTCATTTTTACAAGCTTTCTTGGAGATGTTCTCATGATTCATTTGGGAACTGGGAGTTTAAAAAATGACGGCAACAGCATCCAACAAATCTGCAAACCACCTTCCCATTCTGATGTTAAACTGGTGTTGCTCCTGTACTGAGCATTTTCTGTGCAACAGCCATGCTTTGTGGATTCCCTTTTTATGGAGCATCTGCACAATACTGTGAAAAGAGTCCTGTTTTGTTTGTCCCCCTGAACAGCTTCCATTTTTTTTTAATTCGGAGCTTAGAAATATTTTTTTGTGTTTAAATTGTGTTTTGACATTGTGATCTACCCTGGGACCTCAGGGTGAAAGGCAGGTAATAAGTAAATAAGCAGATATTAACCACACCATTTCCCCAGGCAAACATGGCTTATCTTTCTTGTTTCTGGCCAATTCTGTCTTATCTAGATTGCTCCAGATACTTGTAGATTGCTCACCATAGTCTTCTCCATGGTCCATCTCTCCTCTGTAGGAATCAACTTTGTCACTTTGCTTCCCTTTTGAAATGACATTGCCAGAATAAGAATAATACCATCCCACAGTGAGAAAAATTATTTGCTTCTGTACTGGTGGTGCTCAAGATTGAAAATGTTAATTCCCCTCATGGAATTGAGATATGTCTACCCTTCATAGTATTTTTAAAAAATGAGACAACTTTATTGCATTCCTGTGTAACCAAGTCTCAGTTTATCACCCTGTCAACATTCTCCACACAAAAACATGTGGCCATTTTGGATGGTTATTTTGGCGGAGATGCCGTGAACTGGTCCAGTCCTGAAGAGGAGGCCTGGTTTCAGTAGCTGTCCTGGGTCCCAATAACACCACACTCCTGATTTACAATGGTTTGAGCAAGAAAACCAGACTTTTACACTTTGGGGGCTTTCACAAATCCCTAGGGAGAAATTTTTGCTAGACTTATTGAAATGTTTAGCTTTCCTTGGGAATTCCTGGGATGTTTAACTTGAGCAGGAGCTTCCACTTTTGCTGCAAAATTGCCTTTGACAGTTGAGGGACAGTTTAGGTCTCAAGAAAGTTCTCGTGTCTTGTAGCAAGCCTCCTCACCTTTCACAAAGTTCCTCTCATGTCCTTCTGAGGAGAAATATGTATTACAAAAAATGCTTCACATTTTGCTTTAAGGGAAATTAAGTGGCAACAACTATAGCTCCTGAGCCCTGAATGGTGGTCTTCAAATGCCATTACAGAAGAAGCAGGAAGTCACATCTTTGCCAGCCTGCCTCTGAGATGAGATAAATTGGGTAGAAGCGCAGCAGGGGACTTGGTATGGATGGTTTGGATGGGGTCATGGGCTGTAAGACTATCTCCTCAAAAGCTGACCGCAAATGCACTCTGCTCTTCTCTGTTTCCAGATAACCAAGCTGAAGATTGACAGCAACCCTTTTGCTAAAGGATTCAGGGACTCATCTAGACTCACTGATATCGAGAGGTAAGAAGGACTTTTTGTTTACTTTTTGTTCAAGATAAGATAATGCTGAGGAGAGAGGAAGAGCTGTCGTGAAAAGTGTTCTGTCCTCTCCCACGAAGCTGTAGCGTTTGCAAGTTCGTGTTGCACTGTAAGAGGTCTCAGGTAATTTATATAAATACTCAAAAATAATAAGTTTGCTCCCCTGAAGATCCCCCCACCTTTTCCAATTGCTGCTCTAAAGGCAAAATGATCTCGTGAGCTGGCCACTCAAATAACTCATATGTCTATCCCACATAAACACACATATGCATGACTTCGTATAAAATAAACACATAACTTAGTGGTTGCCGTTTATCTCTCGCATTTTTAAGTCTTTCTCATGTCTTTTCTTAACAACCTGTATGTCTTTTTGTCCAAGCCCACAACCAGAATATTCACCTTCTCATTCAAACCCTCTGCAAGGTCATGGAGATAGTCCCCATCAGACTATTTCAGAACATGAACATGCTTCTTCCTTTGTTTGCTTGTGTGAACGTTTGTTTGATCATAAAGATGTTGATGGAACCTAAGGGACAAGGTATAGGTTTACGACAAGGTATAGGTTTTTCTAGATTTAAAAAAAGCCTCATTAACTCCAACCAAAGGACAACTGGAACCCAGTGCAGATATTAAGGAATTGTTGTCATCATTAGGCACTCTCTTCTCTTTCTTGGACCATTGCAATGTCCTTTTGTCTCATGAGAACGAGAATTTGCATGGCTATTTTTAATGGCCTACTTTGCTCCATTTGTACAGTGGAACCTCAGTTGTCAAACGCTTCGGAAGTCGAACGTTTCGGCTTTCGAACACCGAAAACCCAGAAGTGAATGCTTCCGTTTTCGAACGCGCCTTGGAAGTTGAATGGCTTCCCAGGCGCGGTTCTCCGTTTTTTCAATGGATTTTGCCAACTGGCAATTGTGCCTCGGTTGTTGAACATTTCGGAAGTTGAATGGTCTTCTGGAAAAGAATTACATTTGACAACCGAGGTTCCGCTGTAATGGGTGTATGAAGACAACATGTTATTTCTGTCCCACATTTTAACAGTGTGGTCAGATCATCTTGGTCCCTTAGCAGGATGGCAGCTGGTTTAGCACAGATTATTTTAGCTGGTCATTTGTATGCCAAGGGCAGGATCTCAATCCCAACCCCATTCACTGAATACCCCCAGCATCAAAATCATTTAAAAGGATCATACTAAATCAGGCATTTCTGCAAGAAGACGGCAGTCCTTACTAAGAAGTAAGCCCCACGAATACATAGACACCTGCGTGCAACAAAAATGGTTTGGATTGGGCTATTTATATACCACATGATTTCTGAGGTTCAGGTTACACCCCAGTCCAGCTGGCGCCTTGGGCAGGTGCCCTTACTTACATGCCCGGCTTGCTATGTGATTACCACTCCATCAATAATGTGGTGACCTTCAGATATTCTTGGATTCCTTGTCTCATCAGCCACAGGAAGCATGACCAACGGTCAGGGTTGATGGAAGTTGGTGTCCAAACTTCCACACCAGCTACCTCAGGCCTAGTGGATTGGAAGCAGGTCGGCTTAGTGCAAATTTATACATACCAAAAACCTTTCATTACACAACTCCACTCATTTCATTGAATGACGGACCTTGAAAACAACTTGCAAAGTTAATAGAGTCTCAACTGCCATTTCTGGAGACAAACAATATTATCAGTTCCATTTACATGCCTTGGCACGGACAGTTTGCCAGTTCACATTCACACCTTCTTGAAAGGTGGATATTTGATTAGCTCTTGTAATCAGATAATCCATTTTTTGAATGGACTTCTTAAGGCAGACACACTTTTTTGTATGAACAATTTGGGCTATAGCATGGTCACCTATGCTGGGCAAAGCATCTGTGAGGACTTTTATTCCTTGCACACTGCCTGTCTTTGGGTTGACCTAAATAGTGTGAATGTGGGACAAAGCTTTGGATTTAATTTCCAGATATTTAAGTCTGCTTTTTTTCCTAACTAGCCTTTAGGGAGGGAAGCAAATCAGATCAATTGATCTTTAGAGACCTAAAGAAATCAAATTAGGCTGGAGTCAGTTACCGCACTAAACCATCTAGTAATTGGATTGCTCCATGTAACTGATTGAACACTGCTTCTATCTGCCGCAATAGAGGCTGGGCTTCCTTTCGGTTGATCTGAGAGAAAAAACACATCTTTTTATGACATGATGACAGACATTGCACTTTTCTAGCCTAATTGAATATGTTTTTTATAAATACACGACTCTAACAATTTCAAACTTCCCATTTCAAATTTACGGTCTCTGCCAGGACTTAATTTGAGCCAGGGCTCAACGCGGAATCTGTGAGCTCAGCCTGTTTTCGATGGCAGGGCTTTGTCTAAGAAAGCATCTGAGCATAGACAGAGTGCTTTCCCTCCACTGCTGAGATCCTTGTTGGGGGAACACCTGGGCTTAAAGGCAAACTTCATACAGAATGGTTTCCAGGCAGGTTGAGCCTTAGCCCAATACCAGACTGCCTACTCAGAGCTAGGTAGCATTTCTGCGGGCCCAGTTCTCTGCAAATGGATTCCTATGGGTATTCTGTTGTATTCAGAGCCAGAGAGTTCACTGTCACTGCCCCCTTAAGCATAGTTTGCATGTCTACACAGAAGCACATGGGCGAGGCCATCTGAGTGGATGTTGTTCACTCAGCCATTGTTCTCCCAGCTAGGCTCCCATCACAGGTAGGACAGCCATCATACCATGTTGTGATCATGTGATTCTGATAGCTGCACATATACTACAGCTGCATATGGCTGTTGTGCATATGTGTGTGAGGAAGAGGATGGTACAGTTTGTTTTTGTCTTCTGCCTTTTAGTCACCCTTCCCTTCTTCTGCACTGAGGTGCCTGGTGAATTTATTTTTATGCCTCCTTTAGAACCCTTTTCGATGACTCACCTCTGGTGGTTGTTGTTGTTTTTTGCAATCTGGGCATTCTTCCAAATGTGCAAAGAGGCAACTGCACGAAATGAAAACCTTTTGAAATTTAGAACTAAAGAAGTCCTTCACGCTCGTGACTGCCAAGCCATGCACTCCACATCCGCTTTGGCGGTTTTCTTTTGTCGGGTGTTGAATGGAGAGGCAAATTTGATTCGTGAGCTTTTATTATTTGTTCTCTCTCATTAATATTCTATTCACCGGCAATCACTTAAAAACAAAAGAGGAGAAATGATGAGTGGGTGACTTCTTACTGCATGGGTGGCCAGTCTATGGCACGGGGAGAAGTCTGCGACTCTTGGGGATCAGCCCCTGCCTTCCCTTCCCCGCAGTGGCAAACTTTGGGCCCTCAAATTTCAGCGGTACCCTGCGCCTACACTAACATTTGGTGCTTCCCTGCTTCTCATTCTCTGTTCCACAGCACTGCTGTGGTGCCCCCTGCAGTGTGGCTGAACCAGTCCCGCTACCCTAAAACCATTTCTGTTCCCAGTGCAGCCCAGTTGCCTCTCCCAGTAGGTTCGAGTCAAGAGACTAAACACATATGGTTGTACAAACAAGAATGGTAGTTGTTGGCACCTGCCTGTCTCAGGAGACAATAGAGTGCGCCTCCGGGGGTGAAGTCATTAGCAGCACTGGGGTGCAAGCCTGGGCAGTGTGCATGGAGGTCCTGGGCTGCCCAGATGACAAGACCCCCCTCTCGGCCTCGCTGATGTGGTCCAAAGGAAAGGAAAGAAGAGTACCGTATGTTCTGGCATATTAGGCGACTGGGCGTATAAGACGACCCCCCAACTTTTGGTGTTAAATTATAGAGTTTGGCCGACCGCCAAGCACCGCCAGGGGCGGAGCGTGCACCCCTCCACTGCCTCTGCCGTCGCAGCAGCAGCAGCAGCCCGAGGTGAGGCGTTTGGTGGGCGGAACAAAACCGAAACCCGCCACCAGGAGGGAGGGAGGCCCGGCCTGGCTCCCTCCCTCCCTCCGGGAAAAGGCTGCGAGCAGCCGCCTCGGCCTCTGCTGCCCTCACTAGTGGGGATGCCCAGCTCCTTGGAGGCCCGGCCAAAGCCGCGCACCACCTCACCACTGCAGGCTCTTCATGGCGCCCGCGAGCTGGGCGAAGCCCGCGCGGCCATGGCGGAGGCCGGATCCGGCTCCCACAACGACGGCAGCAGTAGGTGGGCGGGCGGGGGGAGCGCCATGCTCGGAAGGACTTTCTGCTGTGAGGAGAGAGCAGCGGCCAATGAACACGCGCTGTGCCGGTACGGAAGAGGAGGGGCCACGCGCTGCGTCACAGGAGGCTGCGTCCCCTTCCGTGGGGAGGGAGGAAGAGCGATGGCAGAAGGGGCGCCTCTGCTCACCACAGGTGGCTCCACATATACCCAGCGTATAAGACGACCCCGGACCTTTTGGGTGATTTTCCTGGGTTAAAAAGTCGTCTTATATGCCGGAACATGCGGTAATAAATTTGGCACCAGTTTGCCTGCAGGAGTTGCCAGAAGGAGGCGTACAAGGCGACACCCAACCGTCTTAGGGACTTCACTCCGGTTTTGTGTAGGGTTTGTTGCTTAGCTTTTTCTTCTGAAGATAAACTACAAGGCAGCGGAAGTTTAGGATCAGAGTTTTCTTTCTACCTTTCCAGGTTGACGAGCCCCATCCGCCCCTTACTTCCCTCTACAGACAGCACATGCAGAAAGTGCCTTCTTCACCATTGGACCCACAACTGGTCTCATCTGCTCAAAGAGCGGTGCTATCTTATATTTTGGGCGTACCTGTTGGGTTGCTTTTGCTTGAGCCCTTTCCTGGAATTGCTGCTCTTTGTTAACTCGCTTTTTTATGGAGAGCCCAGCTGACCTTGCTGTTGGCCTGTTGGAGTCCACTGTTTTTTTGTACTGACCTGTGTTTTCCAGTCCTGATTTGTGGGTTCATTGGTTTTGGTCACAATTGATGTATGAGGTATTTCCAGGCCCTGTCAGCTTTACATGGAGAAGGGCATAGCTCACTGGTGGAGCATCTTCTGTTGCCAGTCATTGTAGACCAATACTGAGCTAGATGGACCCAACGCCTGACTGAATATGACAGTTTCCAGTATTCCTGTGTTCTTATTAATAAATCTGCTCTGTCCTATTTCCGCATCAATCTGTAAATTAAAAACCAAACGTTTGCATTATTCTTGAACATAGTTTTTTCATCTGAGGTGCATTTTTGTGCACGTTGTCTCCCAAAGCATGCATTTCGTATGCATTTGAACCCCAAATACAGATTGCTGGTACTTTTCTGAGCCAAGAACCTCAAAATTAGGAAAAGTAGGAAGATAAAGGGATAACTGTATTCCAAATTGTGTATTTGTCCAGAATGTGTGAATCTGTTTGGTTTGCTTAAAGATGTGAAATGAATAAAATTCTCCTCATTCCTAATATAATATACCGTATTTTTTGCTCTATAAGACTCACTTTTTCCCTTCTAAAAAGTAAGGGGAAATGTGTGTGCATCTTATGGAGCGAATGTAGGATGCGCAGCTATCCCAGAAGCCAGAACAGCAAGAGGGATTGCTGCTTTCACTGCGCAGTGATCCCTCTTGCTGTTCTGGCTTCTGAGATTCAGAATATATTTTTTTTCTTGTCTTCTCCAAAAACTAGGTGCACCTTATGGTCTGGTGCGTCTTATAGATCGAAAAATACGGTAATTACAAGACTGGCCTGCCTAATATAAACAGGCAAAGGGTTGTTGAGGCTTTTAGGAGCCCAATCATCTGTAATTAAACCTTTCCTGTTTGCAGCCCATTTTATTGAGTGGGTGGTGGTGATTATTGTGCCGAGAGGGCAGAAAACCAAGAGTGTTGTTAGAGAGTGACCTAGAGGTCCTAAGTCATGAATTTTGTGCACCAGGTTTGTGCCTACAAATGGTTCTCCGTTCACGTCAAAGGACAAGGAGCTCCATGTGTGCTTAGAGCTGTCCCATCCATTGAAGTGAATGGGGAAGTCATCTAGTGCTGGGACATATATATGTGCTCATGTGTGTGTTTATTCAGAGCTCTTGATTGGAAGCTATGGCTTCTATCAATCATGGAAGAGAAATATCTGTAGCATTTGTGACTGTTCTTTAGGATTGCTTTTAATGGATGGTATTGTCAAAGTTTATCTTCAGAGAAAAATGGCGTTAAGCATCTGAGGCAATGTATATCTGACTTATAAACATGCCCAAAGCTTTTCTAAAATTAAAGTAGAATTATATAATTATTCACAAACTGACTGGCTCAATATGTATCATTTTTGAAAAATGTGCAGTTGTGCAGTCTAAAAACACCCTAGATTGAATTTCTGCCTCAAATTGCCATTGACGTATTTTTATGGGGTAGAATTGTAATAGGAAATATATTGATCTGCCTGCTGGTAATTTATAAAATTATCTGCATCTGCTTATGAAAAACACCATCGCAAGGTGGTGGTGTACAGTACAAGGTGATCTTGCAGCCTAAGAACCTGTTGAGACATAAATGAGAGGAATCTTAGCATCACTAAATTGGGTGACAAAGCTTCCGTTTACAGGTAGGGTCAGTCATGGTGCTGATCAGCTATTTGTGAAGAGAGCTGGATCCAGTCCCTGCCTGCTCCCCATATCTTAGCTTACATTTGTTTGGGGTCATCAGAGTACTTCCCTAGTGGCTGTGCGTGTTTCAGCTGCATGTAGGAATTATGTGTTTTGTATATGAAGAACATCTGGAAAGCAACAACGCATGGATTTTTGTGATTTCAGCGTGTGACCCCCAGGTTTTCTCACATATGTGCTATATCGTACATGGCCGTTGCTGGAGAGCAATTATTCATGTGTATGTAACAGTTATGGGGAACCTGCTATCTTCCCAGATGTTGTTTGACTCCAACTCCTGCCATCCCCAACCCACCTGGCCCAGTAATCAGGGATGGAAGGAGCTGAAGTCCAGCAATTTACAGGCTTCAACTTAGGTTTGTCATGCAAATACAATGGTACATTTGTTCTCAAACTTAACCCGTTCCGGGAGTCCGTTCGACTCCCGAAACTGTTTGAAAACCAAGGTGTGGCTTCCAATTGGCTGCAGGACCTTCTTGCACTCCAGCAGAAGCTGCGTCAGATGTTTGGCTTCCAAAAAACGTTCGCAAACCGGAACACTTACTTCTGGGTTTGTGGCATTCGGGAGCCGATTTGTTCGACAACTAAGCCGTTCGAGAACCAAGGTACCACTGTAATATAAAAAATAAAAGGCTTGCTTCTGCAGTTACCTCTGTGCAGATGTTCACAGCACCTCAAGCTCAGGGGCTGGAGCCACAGACGCAAGTCTCAAGTGGCCTCAGGTGATCTTGCCTTACAAACCAAAGTGGAGCTGATGAGCGCTTCCTGGCAGCGATCTCCATTAATGCCGCAGGGTTCTTGCCCATGCTTGACAGAAATGAATGGAGGTTGGGTAGGCACATGCTTGGCGAACTGCACTACGTTAGAGGTCAGGAACAGGAGACATTGGGGATGAGTCTGGTCCCTTGAGTATTGCCCGCTGGCCCCTGACATGCCAATTTGCAGACAAGAGAGGAGTATAGGAAGGAGTTTTGCTGGTAATCCGGCGTGACAGATGAGTGGGACCAAAACCCCACCTTCTACCCCCTCCTTAGAGCACCCCCCACCATCAAAACCAGTAGCTGAAAAAGTAACTAAATGTTAACACAATGGAATATTTACTTCAAGGGAGTGTATTGAACCAAAGCCTGAAGAGCCTTGCTCATCGACTCCATGGCCTTTGTAATAACATGAAATGGGGTTTTTTTGCATTTCTCCTTTTGCTAGAATCAGGGGGAAAGGGGGCATTCAGATCCATAATGTAACCAATGTAGCCTCTTTCTCTCCCCCTTCCCCTTTCCCTTGTAAGATCTTCTGGGAGATAACGCTGGATGGCCACTGTCTTCAATCACTTAAAAGGCAGTAATTCAATTATAGGCTCCTCTCAGTAGCAACTGCCATTGCTTTCTGTCCACTTCCAGTCCCCGCAAGTAAATTGCTTCAATAAGATTCTCCTCCCTCTCCCCCTTTCACTCCTTACTCTCATTTCCCCTCTCCTGCAAGAGGCTTGTATATGTAATGATACCAGTGATATTCCAAGGACAAAATATTCTCGGTTCTTTTGTAAGGAGGTGGGATCACTGTGATGGATTTATTGCACTGTTTGGTAAACTGTCCTCCCCATTTTATTTTATTTTTAAATTGTAGTAGGCTTTGCTGAAAGGCAATGCATTTTTAGTTAGCCTGAGTTACCAAACGCGGGTTCAGCAGGGATCTCTGCCAAAGGCTAGGTTTAAATGGCTTCAATTAACTGGATTGTCTATGGGAGCAGGGATAGACAGCTGATTTGAAGTGCATCAGGTCAGATTGGCCTTTGGGGAATCCTGATAGATAAAATGGCTTTGTTCATTAAATCGGTTCTTCTTCTTACTACTACTACTAAGCTTTCTAGCAGTGCAGCTGAAATCTATGTGATGTTTCTTGTTAAGTATTTGAAAAAATGAAATGAAACTTCGGGTGAATTCTGTACTCATAGTGAACACACAGAAAAAGAAGCAAATTGCTTCTCTGCCCTGCTCCATGAGTTTAATCAGAATCATTACAAAAACCTGTCCCATGAGAACCTCAGGCAGACGGGCTCAAAGCGACCCAAACTGCAGTGACCCCCAGCACAGTGGGGTCAAAAATAAATATCATCCTCTATCATAATCTCCTGACTGTAAAATCTACAGTGAGTGGTAGTCACTGCTGAGTTGGCTTGAATTCTGTGCCCTCTGGCTTGTGATGCTTTAGCAGCTCTGGAAATAATCTGGCTCACGGCCAGGGAGAATTTACACAATTATGTGCTAGTGCAAGGGTAGGGAACCTCAGGTCTGGGGGTGGCACTGAATGTGGCCCTTCAGACTTCTTTATGTGGCCCCTGGGACTCTGCCCTGGTTATGCTTTTTGCATATCTCTTCCTGGCCATACTCCACAAATGCTTTTGCTTGGCTGTAATGTGTCTTTGAACAGTGACAAATGCCTTTTGCTTGCCTGGATGGAAGACGGAGAGCAGTAGTAGTAGTAATAATAATAATAATAAATCATAATAATTTATTATGTATACCCCGCCCATCTGGCTGGGTTTCCCCAGCCACTCTGGGCAGCTTCCAACAAAACACTAAAATACAATAACCTATTAAACATTAAAAGCTTCCCTAAACAGGGCTGCCTTCAGATGTCTTCTAAAAGTTTGGTAGTTATTTTTCACTTTGACATGTGGTGGGAGGGCGTTCCACAGGGTGGGTGTTGTGTGTTGAAAGCTCTGACTTTTGCATTGCCTACTATACAAAGCTTCTGGCCATGCTCTCCACTGAGACGCAGTCCCACAGAAGATTATGGGGAGCTAACTTTTCCAGCCCTAGTGGTGCAAGTATTTAGCTATGTTTGTGTTCTGGCCGATTCCCATCCCCTGGTGTCCTGGCATTATTCTATTGTCCAATCTATAATAACCAGGTAGAGTTACGATTTTTCCTCCTCCACCACCAACAATATCACCCAGTGGGTGAAAATAATCTACTGTGTTAGGTTGTGGGTACAAGTACAAACTAGTTAGGAAGTAACTGCATGATCTTCTACCCTTACTAAGCCTCCCAGGAAGCCAGTAACAGGTTTATTATCTGCTACTTTGAAAGCTTCTCTCAATGTTCCAAACTGAAAAGAAAGTATGTGTGGTTTTGATGTTATTTTAATCATTGTCAGCATATAACATGCCCTTTAAGATCCTTTCTATGCCCCCGTCATAACTGGGGCTCTTGCAACTCTGTTCTAGTCTATGGGGTACTCTATTTTACTGGGTACCCCATAAAGTCAGTTTTAAGCCTGACTTACCTCAGTCAAGGCTCCTGATGTTTTTTACGGGGATATCTGAAAGGGCCTTCAGTTCAAAAGAATCCAAGCACATGCTTCCATTGTATGTCTTTCAAACGGCCTGCCCAAGACATTTTGACACCTGAGGTAAACCACAAAGTGTCCCGCTTTCCCACCAGGGGAACGTAAAGTGAAAATTTACATCGTGAACAAGATGAGGGGATAAAGATCTAAGTCTGAATTTGCTGTCTTTGTGCATCCTGCCACCTGAGGCAGTGGCCTCACCTTGCCTCTTGACTGGGCTGGCCCATATTAGGAGTAGAGGGAGCTATTAAAGAAGTGCATAGATGGCTTTCAGTCTGTTGCTAACGTGGAATGTTGTCTTTCACAGAGAAAGCGTAGAGAGCCTTATTCAAAAGCATTCCTATGCACGATCCCCCATCAGAACCTATGGCGCAGAGGATGAAGTTCTGGGAGACGAAAACCAAGCAGCCCAAAGCAGAGGTAGGAGAACATCTGATCTTGAAGAGCAGAGGTTCAAGATCAGAACCTTTGGTACTTTTTTTTTTTTTAAAAAATGATATTTATTAAAGTTTCACAAAGAAAGAATCACATAAACAAAAAGGAAAATTCAAAAAGAAAAAGAAAAATACACAATGCAAAATACAAGAAGAAAAAAAAAAGAAAGAAAAAAAACAGTTAAAAACAATTCCATCTTTTCATCACTACTTTTACGTTTACTTGTTTCCCGGACCTCCTCATACCTCCCTCTTTTGTATTCCAATTCAGTTTGTTAATCCAGCAATTCCTTTCCCTCCTTTTTAATCCCAATCCTTAATCTTAATATAATATAGCATTAAATTTTTACCTATTAAAAACCAATTTTTCCATTCTTTTAACCTTTTTAATCCTAATCCTTAATCTTGATATATTTATAACTTTAAAGCCTGTACAGCTAGAAGCCACTTAATTTCGATCCAATATCACTCTAACATTCATTAATTTTGCAATATTTCTGTAAATAATCTTTAAATTTCTTCCAATCTTCTTCCACCGACTCTTCTCCCTGGTCACGGATTCTGCCAGTCATTTCCACCAATTCCATATAGTCCATCATTTTCATCTGCCATTCCTCCAGTGTGGGTAGCTCTTGTGTCTTCCTTTGGTACTTTCAAACGAGCCCACAATTTGGAAAGAGGAGGTACCCCTTCTTCCATGCGATTCCTGTATCATTGTGAATCTGATTATGCACAATGCTTGGAATCTGCGTGCCCTCTCCTTTTATTTATCGATTATTTTTAAATGATCCAAGATAAATAAATAAAATGATAAATAACCGGCCCCTTGAAGAAAATCAGCTGCGCCTGCTGTGCATGTGGCAGTGACCCCTTTTTATAATAATAATAATAATAATAATAATAATAATAATAATAAATTTTATTTATACCCCGCCCTCCCCAGCCAAGACCAGGCTCAGGGTGGCTAACACCCAATATAAAAACAAATTTATTGAAATACAACTTAAAAACAAGATTAAAATACAACATTAAAACATTAAAATATTAAAATACGGCCTCATTTCAATGGAAACTCAAATCAAAAACTTTGGGGGGGATGGTAACGTCAAGTCTTCACCAAGGCTAACTTTCCAGACTGGTCCTACATGGGCCAGAAAAAAGCCAGGGAAGTCCCCAAATAGGAGTTCCCATCACAGAAGGAAAATGAAAGAGGGGGAGGGGATCAGGCTGATTCCAAGCCAAAGGCCAGGCGGAACAACTCTGTCTTACAGGCCCTGCGGAAAGAAATCAGATCCTGCAGGGCCCGGGTCTCATGAGGCAGAGCGTTCCACCACGTCGGAGCCAGTGTTGAAAAGGCCCTGGCTCTGGTTGAGTATGCCCCCTAACCTAGTGTAGTCTTGCTATGGCAGCCCCATTACTTACATCAGTTGGTACTTATGCAAACCTCCACTCTTTTCCTTTGTTTGCAGGATCAGCTTTTACCACTTCTGACAACCTGCCCCTCAGTTCCTGGGTCTCGTCAACCTCAAGTTTCCCGGGATTCCAACACCCGCAGTCCTTGACCGCTCTTGGTTCCGGTGCTGCGTCCATAGCCACGCCGATTCCTCACCCGATCCAAGGCTCCCTGCCCCCATACAGCCGCCTGGGAATGCCTCTAACCCCTTCTGCCATTGCCAGCTCAATGCAGGGCAGTGGCCCAACGTTCCCTTCTTTCCACATGCCCAGGTACCACCACTACTTTCAGCAGGGTCCTTATGCAGCGATCCAGGGACTACGCCACTCCTCTGCGGTGATGACCCCTTTCGTATGACTGACCTAAGGCGAGAGAAGCCAAGACTTGGCAGGCAAACCAGCCTGGGCCTGTTGGGAAGGCCCAGGGCGAAACGACTAAGAAAACCAGCTTGCATAAAGGCATTGTGGAGTTAGATCCCTCCTCTTGAAGGATCCGTGTTAAGGGATGGTTAAGGGAGCTTGAGTGGCTCTGAAAATGGGCATGGCCCAAGGGACTCCAAATGTTGCAAGGTCTCTAATTAAACGCTGAACGATCTGAAGGTGCATCATAACCACTAGATGTGAGGCTGCCCTCATGCAGCAGTGTATAGTTTGAATTGTGTATAGACTTCCCCTCCTGACAGAGGCCAAAGAGGCAATACTGTGCTTCATTGCTTTTTATGAAAGGGGTGGGGGGATATTTGTTGCTTTGAGCATGTTTAGGCTACTTCAGCATTAAGCTCGTTACGAAAGAAACAGAAGGAAAAGACTGCACCATTCCCTTCCCTGCACCATCCTTTAAACTCCTTTATTTTAAGTATGGAATCCAGTTAGTTAAGAACACTGGGCATAATCCGCTGGAATTCCTCCTGCATGAGCCTTCTTTGAAATGAATGGAAGCTGTTTCACCAAACCATAGATAGGGTTAACCACAGTTTGCCAAATTCAGATGCTAGAACATGCTAATGGTTCATATAGCTCAGGTGTTTTTTTCTTGGATACTGACAGCAGCAGGGAGGACTGATGGTAAAACAGGGTGACTGAAGATTGCTCTGCATTCTGTTATTTTATTCACAGCTCATTGCAAATGTTGGGACAATTTGTGGGGTACTAATCTGTGGCGTCTGTCACATGCACCTCACTCTTACCATCTGCAATGGCGATATATCTGGAATTGGTGAGGGTGAGGTTTAGCACCGTGTTACTTTGAAGAACATTGTACAAGGCTGAAGAGCAGCAGCTTCAGGCTTCATCTGTCTGTTACTCAGCCCTGATCCATACATGTTGCTCTGGGGCTGGATCTTATGACTAGATCCCATGCCTGCCCACTAATTTGGTAGGATCGTATAAGCAGTATTGATGCCAGTGTCTGTGGGCCATGTTGGGTGTGTTCATGTGGTCCCTTGGAGTCTATTTATTTATTTTTGTACTTTTCCATCCTGCCTTTCTTCCATCATGGAACTCAAGGTAGGTTACATGGGATTTCCAGGTGATCTCCCATCTGGGCACATGCCAAAACTGCTTAGTTTCAGCAAGATGGCTGCATCATGTAGACCCAGAGCACACCCTTAATTGATCACCAGACATTATTGGAGCATTGTGGGAGGCCACAACAGATAACTGACAACTCCGTTGATCTGACATTGTATCTACGAGGCCTACCTGTGTTAGAAAAATATGTGGCAGAGGAACATTTAGAAGTGGGAAGTTGTTGACACCTGCCGTTGTTCACCTTCAAGGCCTTCTTCCTTGCATAATTGCATTTTGGAACAAAAGGTGAGATGTGAAGCGTTTCCTTTCCCTGATTATTATGTAACGCAGAACACTACAAATTCAGTAGATAGGCATCAAGAGTTTCTGTAATGAGAACAAGCATGGGAAAACTCAAAGAGGTGCATCAGTGTGTGGTCCTTGCTGAAAATTAGAAAAAAGCAATAGGGAAAACCTCAGTCCTAGAAGGATGATAAAATCCAACCCACTCACAATCAGACGCTCTGAATGGGAACACGTATTTGTAATATGGAAAGACCGAGAGGAGCAGAAAGCTACATCTCAAGATGAGTCAACAATGCCCCAACCAGCATTTTTTCAATTCATTGTTTAAGCAAGTTCCTAGCTAAAGAACTGAAAACACTGAAACTACATTCTAAAAGGCCCAATAAATTTTCAGTTCTCTTGATTTCTAATTCCATAGTATGAAGATTTATCCAATGGATAAACTGGGGGCTGCAAAGGATTGCAACCTGGGTGTTGCCCAATCCTGTTGAGAAAGATCTAGAGAACGTTAAGGGAGGGTGGCATCACAGAACCATTAGCTATATGGGGTTGCTTAAAACTGACTCTCTGGCTGCTTTAGCAATGTGGAGAGCCTGTAGTGTTTAGGATCTGGCTCTGCAATGAGACAAGCATTACCTTACCATGTTCCCAGAACCCAGTGGTTGTTGGCACCCAACAGTAGGTGGTGTTAGAGCCAAGGACAGGCTGAGACAACTTATTATTATTTTGTCCTCACCCTTCTTGCTGCTGAGTTCTTTAAGACCAACAGTGAGTCATGGTGTAGTGGGGGGCAGTTGTCCTGGACACAAAATTGTTAGGGGCGCAAAACTTCAACACTTGCTGCTGCCTCAATACAGCTGCGTGCTTCCATTGCTCGGCTCCATTGAAAACAGCTGCTCCATGCAAACCAGGAAGTGATGCGGACACCATTAGGCAGTTGAATGTCTATGTGTCCTCCATCCGTTTCTCTCCACCCCACCTGCTATTCATGGCCCCGGGCACAGGCAACCCACGCTATGCCACTGACAAGTTGTAAGTAAGAAGGTAGGTAGCAGGAAAGTGGGAGCAGAGTGAAGTTGTGGGGCACTGTCCCGTTTGCCCTAAAGGATCTACCTCTGCTGCCTGAATCTGCTTGCAAATCCATGGAAGCAGGTTGGAAATGATGGTAGAAACTGCTTACCTGACTGATGGGAAAGAAGACCAAACAATCCGTTCCTCCCCACAGGTTCATAGCTGCTGCAGTTGGTTCATCCTAAGCCTAAGGGCCTGTGATTTAAACCAGACTTAGGGTACATGTAGTTTATCTGCCACTTGTGGGCAGATAAACACTGAAACGGCTGCTCAAAATAGTGGGCGCAGTAGATGACTTTGTGGGGCTGTTAGGCACACATCAAATTTCATGATGTAAGTAAGGGTTGCCTCTTCTCATTTCTGCAAAATGTGTCATGTCCCATTTGCATGTGTTGAGCATTTCCCAGTACAGTGGTACCTTGGGTTACATACGCTTCAGGTTACATACGCTTCAGGTTACAGACTCTGCTAACCCAGAAATAGCACCTCGGATTAAGAACTTTGATTCAGGATGAGAACAGAAATCGTGCTCCAGTGGTGCGGCAGCAGCAGGAGGCCCCATTAGCTAAAGTGGTGCTTCAGGTTAAGAATGGACCTGTGGAACGAATTAAGTACTTAACCCGAGGTACCACTGTACTGCAGAGATTGGGCAGCAGCTGCACCTGAACACTGAAGCTGTTGGACTAGGATGCCTTTAGGTTTGGGGAGTCAGCTAAACGTTTTCCTTTTCACTTTTCCAACTTGCTTTTACCACAAAGATTCTTTGTTTTTCCTGCTCATTATTTGCAGTAAATATGGTTCTGGTACTTCCTGAATCTTAAAAGGATGAAGGGTTTATTTATGACAGTTTCTGGTTTATAAGATCAGGGTTTGATATTGTTTTAAAATACTGAAGAAAGTGATTTCAGTCAATAAATGTGTTACTTTCTAAATAACTTGTTTTTAAAAGTATTTTGGACAAAAAAATTACAGATTGCTGTATTTTAGCTTTGGCACATTTTAAACGAGCATTTAGTTTCTTACTGTAACACCAGAAATAGGAGGAAAGTGTTTCTGTAAACATAGGGAAAGTAAAAACTGGAGGTAGTCTCTCTTAACAGAATGTATTACTGGTCTGTTTGCTGTGTTAAATGGTTTAAATTAATTGTGTGAACACATTCACCATGTAATGACGTGTGCGCGTGCGTAATTTGGGAGATGAGGGCAAAATGTTTTACGAAAAAGAAGTTGAGTATGTAAGACTGCAATCCGAAATCCACTTATCTGGGAGAAAATCCCATTGAGCACAATGGGACTAATATCTGTGTCGAAGTGTATAGGCTTGCACTGCAAATTAGAAAACAATATCCAGCATCAACAACCAAAAGATTCTTTTTAAGTGCAATATATTTATTTCTGCCAGAAATATAATATCAACATGATGTGATATTTCAAGCACTAAATGTGATTTGTAAACAGCTTAAAATGATTATATATAAATATATATATATATATCACAAAGTTGTACATAAGTGCAAATGTGTGGATATTCATTTTTTCCTTTCATTAAAATACTGGGATTTTTAAATATGGTATGTGTTCATTTGTTTAAGCTTGTTTCGATTTTAAACCATTTGACATACAGTATTTTTGAATGGCCATGCAGAGCACCTGCTGGCTACCAGCACCCCAAAGTCAAGACCCAAAGCAGGACTTGAGGACAAATAGGCCTCTCTCATGTTTATATTCCCCAGCTGGTATTGAGAGCCAAACTGCCGCTGTTTGTGGAAGCAGCAAGTATCCATCTTGATTAGTAAAGGTAAAGGGACCCCTGACCATTAGGTCCAGTCGTGGCCGACTCTGGGGTTGCGGCGCTCATCTCGCTTTATTGGCCAAGGGAGCTGGCGCACAGCTTCCGGGTCATGTGGCCAGCATGACTAAGCCGCTTCTGGCGAACCAGAGCAGCGCATGGAAACACCATTTACCTTCCCACCGGAGCAGTGCCTATTTATCTACTTGCACTTTAATGTGCTTTTGAACTACTAGGTTGGTAGGAGCAGGGACTGAGCGACGGGAGCTCACCCCATCGCGGGGATTCGAACCGCCAACCTTCTGATCAGCAAGCCCTAGGCTCTGTGGTTTAACCCACAATGCCACCCATGTCTTGATTAGTAGCCACTGATTACTCTCTCCTCCTTGGATTTGTCTAATGCCCAGTGCCGGATTTACGTATGAGCTAAACAAGCTATAGCTTAGGGCCCCACTCTCTTGGGGGTCCCCCCAAAAAATGAAAGAAAAAAACAACTGGATGTACATTTCCAAAATATAAGATAAAACAAACAAATAAAATAAAACCTACATACAGTTACAGCTTAATAATTATTTCACTATTAATATACTTCTTAATTGTATTTCAGTTCAACAATTACTTTGATAAAATGCATATTTTGTTATGTGCAAATGGCTTTAGATAGAAGAAGAAGAAGCGTTTGGATTTGATATCCCGCTTTATCACTACCCGAAGGAGTCTCAAAGCGGCTAACAACCTCCTTTCCCTTCCTCCCCCACAACAAACACTCTGTGAGGTGAGTGGGGCTGAGAGACTTCAGAGAAGTGTGACTAGCCCAAGGTCACCCAGCAGCTGCAGATGGAGGAGTGGAGACGCAAACCCAGTTCACCAGATTACGAGTCCACCACTCTGAACCACTACACCATGGTGGCCTATTAGGTAGGTAGGCACACTACCTATTAGGTCCATAAATTACCATATATTCAACACAAAAAACAGCGGCAATTTGTTTGTTGACAAAGGACAGCTGGACATATAAAGGGCCCCATTATGTTCAGTAGCTTAATAATAATAATAATAATAATAATAATAATAATAATAATAATAATTAATACCTGCCCTCCCCAGCTCAGGGCAGCTAACAAGCAATAATAAAAACAAGTTGAATGAATACAACTTAAAAACAAGATTAAAATACTGAAACATTAAATTATTAAAATGCAGCCTAATCGCAAGAGGAGAAGGAAAAGAAAAAAGAAAGAGAGGGAGGGAGGGAATCAAATTGGCTCCAAGCCAAAGGCCAGGCGGAACAACTCTGTCTTACAGGCCCTGCGGAAAGAAATCAGATCCCGCAGGGCCCGGGTCTCATGAGGCAGAGCATTCCACCAGGCCGGGGCCAGTGTTGAAAAGGCCTTGGCTCTGGTTGAAGCTAATCTAACTTCCTAAATCCAGCCCTGCTAATGCCCATTTAAAGCCATCTAAGTCGGCGGCCATCACCATGCTCTGTGGTAGCGAATGCCAGATAGTGCAGGCCTGATCCTGCGATATCTCCATTGGGGAGGAGGAACAAGCTTGGTGGCCAACCAGTGGCACATGCCATTTTTTGAGAGACCTTCTCCTTTGCCCTTTTAACCACACGACTCCCTTTTTATTTGTGTTTTAGCTCAACAGAGCTAATTTGGCACTGGAATCTAGATAGATTTTAGTCTGGGTTTGGTAAGAACCAGCATCTGTACAAATCCAGTTGCACAGTACCGAGGGGCGCTGTGGCGTTTGCCCTCCTAGGTGGGTCATAAGGAAAGGGTTAAATGAGTGTGACGTGATTGGCCAGTGGGAACCCAAGGGGAGGAGTTAGAGTTAGAGTTGGAATTGTTGGGAAGTCAGTTGGGAGTTGGAGAAGGAAGAGGGAAGATAAGTCTGTGGGTTGGTCTAGTTTTGATGTGAGGGAGTGAGAGAAACTGTTAGGAGGAGTCAGACAGACAGTTGGGATAATCAGTTAGAAGTTATTAGGAAGGTATAGGCCGGTATAGAAACTAAGGATAAGAAACTGACAAGAAAAATTGCAGCTTTCCCTTAGTCTACGTTTCTGTTCTCCTCTGACTTGGTTCTCCCAGTGGTATATAGGGCCATGGTAGGGACAGAGGAAACTGCCATATGCCATATATTGAATTAGACCATCCATCAGGGTCTTAGCCAGACTCCATTGGGCCTGTCCTGTACTTTCAGGCACAGCCTATAATGAAGGTGTGGAAGGGTGTGTGTGTCATGGAGAGGTTAGTTCCCCTTGTCTGACTTCTAGGATATCTTACAGGGTCCTATTTTTCCTGAGTCGAACATTGTAATGGGCAGAGGTTTCCTCCCTGCACCCATGCGTTCCCTTGGGACTCCTCCATACAACTTGTTTACAGTATTGAGTATTCATCCTGATTTGCTTGCTCGATGTTTACACAGAGGTTGGACCATGTCTTTTCTTCAAGCATTTGTTCTGCTTAGTGGGAGGCTATACAACAAGGAGCATCCATCCAGATTTGCTTGTGCAGTGGTTATTTTTAAGTTTTTTAGGTATTTAATTACCCTTTCTATAGTACTTATCGCAAAGTGGTGTACAGAAAACTAAAGCAACAACAGACAACTTAAGCAGCAGCCAATTTTGGGGGGAAAGTCTTAACAGTTAAATACAGAAATGCCAAATGTTAAATACAAAAAAGATAGATGTCATCTGCCTTCCCATTAATTAATTGTTTATCCCACATCTGTCCCTCTTCTAACTTCAAAAAGTCTGGCTTTAAAAAAAATAATAATGAATTGATTGCATCAGAGCACCAGAGTGCTTTAAATCCACTTTAATTGTGCACACCTGCATTCCTGGTACATGCCTGAATCTCTCCTGCAAAATACTGATGGTCTGGAGGTGACCCGGCAAAACAAACACAAATGACCTTTCAGCATCTTCACACCAGCAGCTTTCATTAAAATTGGCCACACGATGGCATTGTTGCACCACTGGGGTTGCGAGCTGGAGGGAACAGTCTTCCACTAAGGAGCTCTCATTTTAAAGGAATGAATGCTAAGCGGAAGAATAGCATAATCTATCAAGAATTGCCTTTGGATTCAACCAACCAGCCATGAAATCTAGCCTTCTGCCTCCAACAGTGCTAAACAAGGAAGCTCATGAGAGATCTAAACCTCCTCCCGGATCACTTAGTTCCAATATTTGCTAATCAGAGACAGATTGCCTCTGAATATGATGGCAAGAACACAAGGACAGACAAAGACCTATTGAAACCTTTTGATTCAAAGGAGCTGTCAGAATATGTACAGATGAGAAAGGTACGGGTATATATTCTACTGATAGATATAATTTTCCATGAATTTGTCTACTTTAGAAGATGTCTCTTTTAAGGACATTTAAGCTTGTGGCCATTGCTACCTTGAAGCAGCAATTAACTCTACAAGTCAGATTTACTGCATGTACGGTATCTGTTGTGCATCTACTGCATTCACAATTTTACAAGTCAGACCTTCAACAGAGTGTTGCATTGTATCCCCAGCCTTTTGAAGGAAGAAGAACTTTTGTTCAGGGTTCCAAAGAGGAATTCTGCCTTCCCTTGGATTAGGCCAGTTTTACCAGGAGGCTCATTGTCACACACACAAATTCCTTCCCCATCCTTGCTCTCTAGCAGCCGCCTGAAAGACGGCCTCCCTTGGAAAATCAAGCTGGACTGGAATCACCCGGAGCTTGAAAGGAAAAGGACTCCATTGGTGCCTTTGCAGCACACTACTCACCCGAGGAATTCCTGGTCGTAGTGGAAGTTGACAACCATCCCCAGGAGAGCGATCAGCAGCTGTGGGAAGTTCCAGCACACAGCTGCCTTGTATTCCTCCATCCTGAAGATGGTGTGCAACAGGCTGGTGAGATGTTCCTGGAAGAGAGAGAGGTGCAAGTCACTTTCCCTGCTTTTGTGCAGAATACAGAAACCCCTCGATATCACCCTGGGAAGAAGGAAGCCAGAAAGCAGGTGGTTCGTCCTTACCACTTGGGTGGCAGATTCCTTCAAGGGGCTTTGGTAAAGCTGCTCGGCCATGAGATGGAGCAGTTGTTCTTGGTCAGCCGATGCCAAAACCTCCTTCCATATTCTCTGGCAGCCTCTGTGAATGCAAAAACAAGACCAATGCTCAAATTCAAGTCTTCTGCTTGCTGCCCTGCCCCAGAGAGTGGAAATGGCAGCAAGGGCTTTCTGAGTGAGCCCTGAAGCTTGCCAACCTTTCCCTTAGCCCAGTAGAACCTGGAGGGCTCCATACCCGAAGGGAAATTGGAGGAGGTATTCAACCACTTTCTCCAGGCAGTGGTGTGACAAGATGGAGAAAGCGAAGACGGCCATGTTTCTGCCCTCCACTGTAGGCCCCTGAGTGAATTTGTAGAAGGCCTCCATCAGCACCTCCACCTGTCAGAGAAAAGGAGAGGGTTGCTTAGAGAGTACAAGGAAGTGGGGCTGTCTGCAGGCAGATCCCTCCATCCCTCATCGAAAGAGGGACCCTTGACCTGTGCCACCACAGCCATCTTCCTTCAAAGGTACCACTCAGGGTCCTTGGGAGTACTGGACCCAGGCAGCTCCAGGAAACCAGTTTCCCTCTCCATTGTGGGCCAAGAGAAGAAGCTTGCCCGTCTGCTCCCAGAAGGAGGAGGATTCCCCAGTCTTGAACCCATGTTTCTCAGGACCCTTGGCTGAGCTTCTTGTCCTGACATTGCCAGGCCCCTCTCAACAAACATGTGTCCCTGGCCACTCAATGGCATGAGGTTGCCTCCCCTACACCAAAATGGAGATTCTTCTTCTCTCCTACCTCTGCAGACACCTTACCTCTGCTTTGCCGCTAAACTGCTTGATGAACTCTTGCAGCAGGTGGGAGATGTCCAAGGGGCTGAAGCTGCTCTCAGGAACCAGGTTGCTGACCAGGAAGCACACGGCCTCCAAGAGCTGCTCCGCAGGGAGAAAGGCGCCAAAGACCTGAAGCAAGAGAGGAAGGTCAGAGATGCCCACAGGGCAGGGCTGGGGAGCAGAAAGCCCAGGTGCTTTCTCTGTGGGACCCAGAACATGAGGCTTGAGAGACCGCTGTGCCTTGTGTGACAGCGACTTACCCTGGCAAGAGAGTAGCAGTCATTGATGAACAATGCAGGAACCGGACTTCTGGTGGAATTGAGGACCTTCTGAGCTCTGATGATGAGTGTTTGGTTCCTGGACATTCGTGCCAGCGTCTCTGCAAAGGAAAGCCAAAGGGTTAGTTCGGGTCTTGCTCATCCCACCCCATGCTGGGATGCATTCTTCCAGTCTTACCTTCTTTGCGCCGCAGGATGGGCAGAAGATGGCAGAGGGCCTCTGCTGCCCGCTGTCTGCACTCTGGGTCTGGATCCAACGCGCACAGACAGGAAATGGCCACCAGTTGGCCAAGGGAGGATGCAGGAAGCGCTACCGATGGCTGAGAAGAAACCCAGAGAAGGGACTGATAAGAGAAGCAACCCATCACCATTTTTCCTACAACATTTTAATTTTATTTTTTAAACTTTATTACGGTCACAGACCAGGATAAAAAACAAACAAACAAACATATAAATAAAATAGCAGTTAGGATTTTTTTTAAACTGATAAATGTTGGAGCAAGTAAGGACAAAGAAACAAGCATAGGATAAAACATCTGAATAAAATACAAGATTAAACACGGATAATGGATGGATAAAAACTGATAATTAAAACATTTTTATTAAATCTTCAAAACATTCCAAAACATTTAGCATCCTATACAGAAAAAAATCAATTTCTTTTTTACTTCCCACCCCTCTTTTCCTGATGTTTGCTTTTTAGGTCTTTTCTCAGCTGTTTTACTCACTAGGATTCATTCTGCTATGGCCCAGCTCTGTTCTCAAAATTGGGTATGTGCCGGGATGCCTGATTGTCCCTAGGGCAACTTGCAGGGTGGGCCTAGAAGCGACAGCCTGAAAGCCTTGACAGCCCTGCATGGTTGCAATGCTTTGCTTCAGTAACTCACATATTCCTGGATCTTCTGCAGGAGGTCAGAAAGATCTCGGAGCGCCTTCCTTCGGACCATCTTCTTCCCACTCTTCATCGTGGTGACGACATCCATAAGTCTGGCCTTCAGCTGGTCCTTGCTGAAGCCTTCGGGAGGAACATCAGCCGCATCTGGAGAACCTGTGGTTGGGATGCTGAGGGGAGAGAGGAGTAGCACTTGTGTCAAAAGGTTTTATTGCCTCCCATCCTTCAAAGACCCCTAGTACCACCACCATAGAAATGGACGGGGGTGGTGGCTTTTGAAAGCAATTTGTTATGTACTGAGTTCAATAGGATTCAGAATGCAACAGTCTGATTGGTCCACAGGAGCCACCCAATCCAGCTCCAGGTGGAAGTGAATCCGCAACCTGATTGGCCTACAGGAGAATCCCAGAATTAGCCAATCACATGGGGCCCATTGTGTAAATAATGTATATAAAGCAGACATTTCAGGGGAACTTCCATTCCTCCTCACCACTATGAGCTGAATAAAGAGCATGAAATCCACTCTCGACTCCGAGTATATTTCACAATTGATGATGGGGGCAGGGGATTAGCACAGCATTACCTTAGAGGAAGATCCTCCCCTTCTTTCAGACTGATTTCCGAGATTTGATCCTCATCGAAATCAATTCCCTGTCCATAAGAAAAGAGAAAAGAGAAACAGGAACATCAGAATGTGAAGAATGGATCAGACCCATTCATGTTTTTGTGTTGATCAGGAAAGCGCAGGCAAGGTAGGTTGGGAAACAAACTGGAAATCTCTGTCCTCCATTTCCTTAGAGACCTTATTCATGCATTCATTCCTTTAGAGCATTTGTACCGCTCTCCTAAGCCAAGAAGGCTCCAAGAGAGCCTTCCATGAAATCAAATGCAAGAAACTCCCTAATCGCAGACTTCTATTGTAAGAAACAATCTGACCAACGGAAATACAACACACAAGGAAAGGGTGCAAGGAGGGGAGAGGAAAAAACAACTCACAAGCTCAGGCCCCTGGGTCTAGAATGCTGTTCTCATCTCTCCCACTGAGGCAGCCTGATGAAATGGCTGCCGCCAGATGCCAGCTGGGGGAGACAAGGCCTGCGGGAGCTGGCCTGTCTCAGCAGAGCCCATGGCGCTGTTTCTCATCCGTCCTTCCTCCAGGAGCACAGCTCTGCCAGGCCTCCTGCCTTTCCCTCACCTGCACCTGGGAGCAGCCCTCCCCTATGATAGACTCTGTGGACAGGTGAGCAGCAGAGCTCCTTGCATCAGCTCTGCAGAAAAACCAGTTCCATCTAGCACCCCCTTCCCCTCCACTGGGCCAGCCGCTCACCCTCTCTTTTCTTCTTCTGTTTTTCCCTTTCCCTCCAAACTATAGTACAAAGATAACATCCAGCGTGTAGAAATAGAAATGAAGCCGCTCCCAGATTCACATAAATCGGAAGGAATCCTCTGTTCAAAATAATATTCAATTGACTGCAATATAGAACACTAAATTTTCTTTTTCAGCATTCCTACTCCCCTTCCAAAAACTTGGGCAAAGCTCAACCCTTTCTTTGACTTTGGATAGCTCTTTGCCAAACTTGGTGATACCATTGATCTAGGTTCTAGAGTTAAGTCCCCTGGCCATGGCAACCTCCACTTACCTCCAGGAGTCTTTGGGATGCCATCTTCTAATGTAGTGACTGAGCGAAGGTCACTACAGGCTACCTCTGCAAACCTCAAGATGCTGAGAATGCAGGAACCTCAATTCAAACGGTCACAAGCTCCATTGCTAGGCAATGGCCCTTGAGAACATGGAATTCCCGGCCTCAGTGCCAAGGTTCTAGGAGAGTCTGTGAGGCCTAGTGGTTAGAACAATGTGAATGCCATGCAACTCAAGGGTGATGTGTATATATTCTTTGAAATGTACAGTTTAATCCTTTTTCTCTTATTTTTATCCTGCTTTGCAGACTCTTGTTGTCTGCTAAAGCTGCTGACATTGATTTAAAAGAAGGTGAGACAAGCCCTGTTCTGAGGTTTGGAAACTCCCAAAACACTGAATGGAAGGGATGTGGAGGAACAAGGCAGAGGAAAAGCCCCTTTCCCAAGGCCCAAGGAGAGGCCTGAGGTGTCCCCAGGCAAGTCCTGTCCTGCTGGGGCCAAGCTGCCCTTCCCCACCCACAGCTCTTCTTGGACAGAGATGCAGCAACTGACCCTGTAGGCCTTCACGCCCAACTTCAAGGGGGCTGTGGGGCTCAAGCCCCTCTCAGATTCCCGGGGGGAATTCCTGGCAAATGCTCCCCACCGGCTGAATTTCTAACTGCCAGAATAATCGTAAATGTACAAACCAATCCAAAATAGAAGGAAGGAAGAAAAGGGGGGAGAGATAACCACCATGGAGCTTTGCCCCCCGTCGGCATAACCCCTCATCCCCCCTGAGAGCTCCAATATAGGAAGGTGATGGTGCAGGCATCCCCAAACTAAGCCCTCCAGATGTTTTGGGACTACAATTCCCATCATCCCTGACCACTGGTCCTGTTAGCTAGGGATGATGGGAGTTGTAGTCCCAAAACATCTGGAGGGCCAAGTTTGGGGGGTGCCTGTATATGGTGCTTTAATGCCCAGGAAATGGCATGTGGTGATGATTATTAAATTTGCATGCCACCCTTCATGTGGGCCATTTCAGTGACTGAACCCTCAAGGTAAGAAGGCCTCCTTTGCAGCCTCCACATGATCCATTCTAGAGGTGGAAAGGAGGCAAGAGACCCCTTAGACCCCCAGCGAGAGGCAGTGGGAGATGGAGCTTTGAAAACAGAGGCTGCTGCTCCAGGAAAGGTCTGGCTGCTTCTCTGGGAGCCATTGGCATCAAGCGCTGCCCACCCCAGAAGAGCCTACTGGCTGATGAGCTCTATTGGCTAGCCTGGAGCGTCAATCAGCCAGCTAGGGAGGGAGGGCGAGGTGCCTAGCCAGGTAGGCTGCGCAAGACAAGCAGGTTTAGGGTGTGGGGGAAAACTTTTACATTTTATTTCTTATGACTTCAAGAACGTGACCAAAGGCATCCCAAAGGGAGCAGGGGACTCTGTGCCCCCGAAATGGAACCAATCCATCTTTGGAAGGCCAAGTGGCCACCCCAGCTGAGGGTTTGCTCCTGGATGAGGCCCTTCTGGCTCCCAGGGACCGTTGTGACGGTCAGGGCTGTCTTAATTATAAGCGGCGTGGGGTGCAAAGATCCACCAAGCACCCCCCTCCCCAGGTTTCCCAGTCCCAGGCATGCAGGAGGATGGAGCCGGCCAGCTGCCTCAGCGCCTTGCTGGCTCGCTTGCCCCCGAACTCGCGGCACAGAGCCGCCCGCAGCAGAAGAGCCCATCGCAGCACCCCGACTGATGGGTGGGCTGTTCCATGGACTCAACTCTCGGGCCGCAGACTCTCAGCCTGGCGCCCCTGAGAGCCCAGCGCCCAGGTGCCCCACACCCCTAGTGCCTATGGGTAAGACGGCCCTGCTGATGGTCAGGGAACCTCTCTCAGCCAGCTCCGTCCAGCCAGGCCACGGCCTTGCGGCATACCTAGGTATTCTCCAAAGTTTATAGAAAACAAACCCTTATTTTCTGTGTCCCTACTTTGCTTCCAATCTTATAGGTACTTAATCACCTGAGTTCACTATTACAGGGAGCTATGATTTTATAGTTCCAAGTTCCAGCACTTTGAGAGGCAGAAATGACATTTTGTTCTCCCCGTAATACAAGGAACGATACCCAACTAAATCATATTCAGAGTAGATCCACTGATATCAGTGGGCTTAGGTTAATTAAGTGCATTGATTTAAATGACTTTATGAATAATACTGAATATCAGCCCACATCTTTATGAATCTATATCATGTTCTTCCCTTAGTCAAAAAGTCCCAATTCCTTGAGCATAGGGGAAAAGACAGCTGTTTCTTTTCTAACACATTATTTGATTCTTCTTGTTATTTAATCTTAACCAGAGATCCATTCTAAACTGAATTGAAATAACTGGGGCATTCTCATTTAACAAATAAATGCTTTTTGTAATGCCCCCTCCCCTGATTTCCAAAATACCATATTTACTTGAATGTAATGTGCCATCGAATCTAATGCATGCCCTAATTTTTGTAACATAATTTGGCAAAAAAAAGGTGTGCATTACATTTGAGTAAATACGGTATATCATTTAAAAATAAAAACTGGCCACACCTATGTTTACACTTTAGCCACACCCACTTCCATATTTCAACCACTCCCACTTTGGCAAGGAGCACTCAAGGGCTGAGCATCAGTCAATGTAGTTGTTGGCCTGAAAAAATTTGGCCACTCCAGGTATTAGAGTAATACGGTATCATTTAAAGATAGGAAACATTTATTTCTTAAATGCTACATTAATATAGTTTTGCACACAGTGCCATCTGTTGGTTATACAATGTAATCCTCATATACTGTAGAAACATTCTACTAGCACTTGTTAACTATGACTTTTAAGCTACACATTCTGTAGTAACTTTGCATTGGAAAGAATAAAAATTAGATGTCAACTAATTAAACATGCTTAGCTTAATCAACTGGATTTTAGTTGAGTGATGTATTAAATGAACAGTACATAGCTAGATAAATGATCTAACTGTTGTAAGATCCCATGGAAGTTCAGACACTTTACTGGTGGTGGAACTCTTGAAGAGTTTACACATCTAGCTATCAGTGATTTGCGTGGAATTTTTTTCGGTGCTTAATTTTTCTTCCACTATACAAAATGTGAACATGGTAACCATTTACTGAGCGATAATTTACCACAATGTGCATTTAGCCATTTGACAAGCCAGAGTAAAAGTGTAACAATAAATAAATTTCTATTGTCCTTCCAGTCACTTTTATCATCTTTTTTTGCCATAACAACATATTGTCACATATCAGGTGTGATATAACTGTCGCTTTAAAGGACTATGGCAAGAATTTCCCGTTCCTGCATAAATTTCCATCTTCCTCTTTGAGCACATACAAGCACATTATGCAGCATGACAGAGAATCCATCAGTCTTTTTTTTTTAAAAGGCAAACCTCATTTGGCTGAGCTGGAATACTTTATTTAATATCTTGCAAAATATATTGTAGTCATAGACTTTTTCAAAATAGCTGGGGCATATGAAATGACTGATTTCACTGCAAATAATATTGTTCTATTTATACTATACAACACCTTCCTGTTGAAAATAATGGCATACAAATTTACACTTGGCTTCATAGTGGACAAGTCACAATTTAAAATACCGGTAGTTCAGCAACTTCTCTTTCAAGTCTGTTTCTGAAATTCTTTTGTAATAAGATAGCTGCTTTGAGATCCTGTATTGAATGTCCTGGGAGATTGAAGTGTTCTCCTACTGGCTTCTCTGTCTTGTGATTCCTGATGTCACATTTATGTCCATTTATCCTTTAGCATAGGGTTTGGCCTGTTTTTGGGACGCGGGTGGCGCTGTGGGTTAAACTGCAGAGCCTAGGACTTGCCGATCAAAAGGTTGGCAGTTTGAATCCCCACAATGGGGTGAGCTCCCATTACTTGGTCCCTGCTCTTGCCAACCTAGCAGTTTGAAGGCATGTCAAAGTGCAAGTAGATAAATAGGTACCGCTCCGGTGGGAAGGTAAACGGCGTTTCCGTGCGCTGCTCTGGTTCGCCAGAAGCGGCTTAGTCATGCTGGCCACATGACCCGGAAGCTGTCTGCGTACAAACGCCAGCTCCCTTGGCCAATAAAGCGAGATGAGCACCGCAACCCCAGAGTCGTCCACGACTGGACCTAACGTTCAGGGGCCCCTTTATCTTTACCTTTGGCCTTTTTAAATATATATTTTATATTTTTTTAATATTATGACCGGTACCAACATTTTAAGCTTTTTGGTGCCACATCAGGCCCCAGAAAGCTTAAGAGTTTTTAAGTTGGTGACTGTTTAACTCCTTCTGTTCCATGTGTTGTTGCTTTTATAACTGTCCTTTATTTGTTCTGTTGAACTGTTTCAAAGGCAGATTTAGAGCTGTGTGAGCTAAGTGCAGGTACTGGGCACTGAACCAAGCATGCTTGCGTAAGAGAGCACCCTAGAGTCTTCCCTCCACTTTCCCAAAGCCTAGTCAGCACTTTCTCAGTTTTGGGGAGGGGGTGGGAGTGCTCTAGGGCCCTATCAGAGCCCCCCCACCTCTTTCCCAAAGCTGGGTGCCTCCTGACCCAACTGACTCTTTTGGGTTTTTTAATCTATTAGTGTATTCTGTTGCTGGCATCTGTCTGTCTTGAGAGACAATGGAGTGTGCCCCAGGGTGAAGTCAAACTGCTGGAGAATCACAACACCTGCTGTAGCTTCCAAGACTGGTAATTCGTAACTGCTGCCTCCTGCATTGGTTTTGCTGTGTTAACAGCAATGACCTCTCTGGGGCACAAGCCTGGGCAGTGTGTATGGAGGTCTCGGGACTCAGATACCGCACATTAGTAAAGAAACAGCAATTTGAATGCGCTATAAAGATGCAAGACCAGATGGGGCCAGATGAGTATTGTCAAGGTGTTGTCAGTGGCTCCCAGCTGGTTGCCCAGGAAAGTATAAAGACAAGGAAAAGTTTCTCACAGTCCTATTTTATTTCAGTTTTTACAGAGAGAGGCTATAGAACCCAGCCTCTTGGATAATGGCGTTGTCCCGAGT